ATATAACTAATTACCACTTCAGTGATATATAACTAATTACCACTTCAATGATATATAACTTATTACCACTTCAGTGATAACTAGTTACCACTTCAGTGATATATAACTAATTACCACTTCAGTGATAACTAGTTACCACTTCAGTGATATATAACTAATTACCACTTCAGTCATACCACTTTAGTGATATATAACTAATTACCACTTCAGTGATAACTAGTTACCACTTCAGTGATATATAACTAATTACCACTTCAGTGATAACTAGTTACCACTTCAGTGATATATAACTAATTACCACTTCAGTGATACCACTTTAGTGATATATAACTAATTACCACTTCAGTGATATATAACTAATTACCACTTCAATGATATATAACTAATTACCACTTCAGTGATAACTAGTTACCACTTCAGTGATATATAACTAATTACCACTTCAGTGATAACTAGTTACCACTTCAGTGATATATAACTAATTACCACTTCAGTGATACCACTTTAGTGATATATAACTAATTACCACTTCAGTGATATATAACTAATTACCACTTCAGTGATATATAACTAATTACCACTTCAGTAACATATAACTAATTACCACTTCAGTGATATATAACTAATTACCACTTCAGTGATATATAACTAATTACCACTTCAGTGATATATAACTAATTACCACTTCAATGATATATAACTTATTACCACTTCAGTGATAACTAGTTACCACTTCAGTGATATATAACTAATTACCACTTCAGTGATAACTAGTTACCACTTCAGTGATATATAACTAATTACCACTTCAGTGATACCACTTTAGTGATATATAACTAATTACCACTTCAGTGATAACTAGTTACCACTTCAGTGATATATAACTAATTACCACTTCAGTGATAACTAGTTACCACTTCAGTGATATATAACTAATTACCACTTCAGTGATACCACTTTAGTGATATATAACTAATTACCACTTCAGTGATATATAACTAATTACCACTTCAGTGATATATAACTAATTACCACTTCAGTAACATATAACTAATTACCACTTCAGTGATATATAACTAATTACCACTTCAGTGATATATAACTAATTACCACTTCAGTGATATATAACTAATTACCACTTCAATGATATATAACTTATTACCACTTCAGTGATAACTAGTTACCACTTCAGTGATATATAACTAATTACCACTTCAGTGATAACTAGTTACCACTTCAGTGATATATAACTAATTACCACTTCAGTGATACCACTTTAGTGATATATAACTAATTACCACTTCAGTGATATATAACTAATTACCACTTCAGTGATATATAACTAATTACCACTTCAGTAACATATAACTAATTCCCACTTCAGTCACATATAACTAATTACCACTTCAGTGATATATAACTAATTACCACTTCAGTGATATATAACTAATTACCACTTCAGTAACATATAACTAATTACCACTTCAGTGATATATAACTAATTACCACTTCAGTGATATATAACTAATTACCACTTCAGTGATATATAACTAATTACCACTTCAGTGATATATAACTAATTACCACTTCAGTGATATATAACTTATGACCACTTCAGTGATATATAACTAATTACCACTTCAGTGATATATAACTTATGACCACTTCAGTGATATATAACTAATTACCACTTCAGTGATATATAACTAATTACCACTTCAGTGATATATAACTAATTACCACTTCAGTGATATATAACTTATGACCACTTCAGTGATATATAACTTATGACCACTTCAGTGATATATAACTTATGACCACTTCAGTGATATATAACTAATTAACACTTCAGTGATATATAACTAATTACCACTTCAGTGATATATAACTTATGACCACTTCAGTGATATATAACTTATGACCACTTCAGTGATATATAACTAATTACCACTTCAATGACATATAACTAATTACCACTTCAGTGATATATAACTAATTACCACTTCAGTGATATATAACTTATGACCACTTCAGTGATATATAACTAATTACCACTTCAGTGATATATAACTAATTACCACTTCAGTGATATATAACTAACTACCACTTCAGTGATATATAACTTATGACCACTTCAGTGATATATAACTAATTACCACTTCAGTGATATATAACTAACTACCACTTCAGTGATATATAACTAATTACCACTTCAGTGATATATAACTAATTACCACTTCAGTGACATATAACTAATTACCACTTCAGTGATATATAACTAATTACCACTTCAGTGATATATAACTAATTACCACTTCAGTGATATATAACTAATTACCACTTCAGTGACATATAACTAATTACCACTTCAGTGATATATAACTAACTACCAGTTCAGTGATATATAACTTATGACCACTTCAGTGATATATAACTAATTACCACTTCAGTGATATATAACTAATTACCACTTCTGTGATATATAACTAATTACCACTTCAGTTACATATAACTAATTACCACTTCAGTGATATATAACTAATTACCACTTCAATTACCACTTCAGTGATATATAACTTATGACCACTTCAGTGATATATAACTAATTACCACTTCAGTGATATATAACTTATGACCACTTCAGTGATATATAACTAATTACCACTTCAGTGATATATAACTAATTACCACTTCAGTGATATATAACTAATTACCACTTCAGTGATATATAACTAATAACCACTTCAGTGATATATAACTAATTACCACTTCAGTGATATATAACTTATGACCACTTCAGTGATATATAACTAATTACCACTTCAGTGATATATAACTTATGACCACTTCAGTGATATATAACTAATTACCACTTCAGTGATATATAACTAATTACCACTTCAGTGATATATAACTAATTACCACTTCAGTGATATATAACTAATTACCACTTCAGTGATATATAACTTATGACCACTTCAGTGATATATAACTAACTACCACTTCAGTGATATATAACTTATGACCACTTCAGTGATATATAACTAATTACCACTTCAGTGATATATAACTAATTACCACTTCAGTGATATATAACTTATGACCACTTCAGTGATATATAACTTATGACCACTTCAGTGATATATAACTAATTACCACTTCAGTGACATATAACTAATTACCACTTCAGTGATATATAACTTATGACCACTTCAGTGATATATAACTAATTACCACTTCAATGATACATAACTTATGACCACTTCAGTGATATATAACTAGTTACCACTTCAGTGATATATAACTTATGACCACTTCAGTGATATATAACTTCAGTGATATATAACTAATTACCACTTCAGTGACATATAACTAATTACCACTTCAGTGATATATAACTAATTACCACTTCAGTGATATATAACTTATGACCACTTCAGTGATATATAACTAATTACCACTTCAGTGATATATAACTAATTACCACTTCAGTGACATATAACTAATTACCACTTCAGTGATATATAACTAACTACCAGTTCAGTGATATATAACTATGACCACTTCAGTGATATATAACTAATTACCACTTCAGTGATATATAACTAATTACCACTTCAGTGATATATAACTAATTACCACTTCAGTAACATATAACTAATTACCACTTCAGTGATATATAACTAACTACCACTTCAGTAACATATAACTAATTACCACTTCAGTGATATATAACTAACTACCACTTCAGTGATATATAACTTATGACCACTTCAGTGATATATAACTAATTACCACTTCAGTGACATATAACTAATTACCACTTCAGTGATATATAACTAACTACCACTTCAGTAACATATAACTAATTACCACTTCAGTGATATATAACTAATTACCACTTCAGTAACATATAACTAATTACCACTTCAGTGATATATAACTAATTACCACTTCAGTGATGTATAACTAATTACCACTTCAGTGATATATAACTAACTACCACTTCAGTGATATATAACTTATGACCACTTCAGTGATATATAACTAATTACCACTTCATGTGATATATAAATAACTACCACTTCAGTGATATATAACTAATTACCACTTCAGTGATATATAACTAATTACCACTTCAGTGATATATAACTATAATATAACTTATATACAGTGATATATAACTTATGACACTTCAGTGATATATAATTTACCACTTCAGTGATATATATATAACTTCAGTGACATATAACTACTGTACTTCAGTGATATATACTAATTACACTTCATATATATAACTCTCACACAGTGGTATATAACTAATTACCACTTCAGTGATATATAACTATATATATAACTACACAGTTCAGTGATATATATTGTAACCACTTCAGTGATATATATATACATTACAGTATATATTACTAACACAGTGATATATAACTTGTACCACCAGTAACATATATACTAGTATATACAGTGATATATATAATTACCACTTAGTATATAACTAATTACCACTTCAGTGATATATAACTAACACCACTTCAGTGGTATATAACTTTAACCAGTGATATATAACTAATTATTCAGTAACATATAACTAATTACCACTTCAGTGATATATAACTAACTACCACTTCAGTAACATATAACTAATTACCACACAGTGATATATAACTAATTACCACTTATCATATATATACAGGTACAGTATATATTATCCACACAGTGATATATAACTTGTACCACTTCAGTAACATATAACTAATGTACCACTTCAGTGATATATAACTAATTATCTCACTAATTACAGTGATATATAATTGTACCACTTCAGTAACATATATATACAGGTACAGTGATATATAACTAACACAGTTCAGTGGTATATAATTGTAACCACTTCTATATATATCAATTATATACAGGTACATATATAATATAATTACCACTTCAGTGATAACTAATTACCACTTCAGTAACATATAACTAATTACCATTGCAGTGTCAAAAGGTAGTGGTTCACTATCTGACCTTGGTGGAGTTTCTGACAGGAGAGCATGGAAGATGTCTCTATCACCTCAACACAAAAAAGTAGGCATCAATAACAGAAGCTATAAACAAGTTAATTTCTATTAACAAAATGTCATACAATGGCATTTATTGCTGTTATTAATGACATAGTTTGTCTAAAAAACATCACACATCAGATGCTAGTGCAGGAACATGATAGCTTGTAGGGGTAACAGTTTCAGAGAGATAAAAACAAGTTTTCTTTCCAAATTATCTAATGTACTTCACAATCATGTGTGTGGGTTTGTATCTAATATCTTCTTCTTTTTGGGTAAGATAGCATTTAGACATGGAAGTACTATGGTGTAACACAAAACAAAACATTATATACATAATATGAAATCAGAATATTGCTTTAACTGATTATCCTCTAAAAGTATCTAGCTTTAAAGATGATTATCACACTTACATTGAAATCCCCTGGCTTTCATCTCTTTATAGTACCCCATTGCTGTTTCCATGTGTTCATGCTGTAAAATAAATAATTGTACTTAAACAATGACTTGTAAGCAAAGTTAATCTCATTCCACTCTGTGCATTGACAACTCCTTACCAAAAGCAAAGTTTTCTATGAAGATTTAAAGGCTCCTAGCTTTAAGGTAGGACAGAAAAATCTCCACACTTGGAGAATGAGTCATGGATTGGAAAGTCAAGAATCTCACTGACCTGAACATCAGTGCCTGAGGGTCTGCCAGGATACAATCAAGCTGTCATCGCAAACTTAAAATTCTAACCAAGTTTGAAATATTTTCAATGGAAATTGAATAAATTATGCTCAAACAATTATATTTTCTATATGGACTACAGTGAATTTTTACCCCCTATCCTAGAGGATGTCAATCTCACAAATTTGATAAAACACACTAGGACCCTTCCATCCATGAAGAGCATTTGATTCTACCATATCTCTGAGCTGAAAAGATCATTTTTGAAATTTGGTCATGACAAGTTTCTGCAAAATTTCATTTTGAAATTGGTTCAGGGGTTTGTGAGAAGAAATTGATAATCTATAATGTTTACAGACGTACAACACTGAACAAAAGGCAGTGGTAATAGGTCACCATGAAACTTTGTCTCAAGTGACCTAATGATGTCACAAACCCTGGCATGAACTTGAAATGTTACTTCTGGTTCATGAGTTCGGAGAGAAATACATTACTCCATTTCTGTCCAATGGCGTAGAAATAAAGCCTCTTACATTGTTTCTCTAACTAGACAATAACAGAACCTTATCAGGAATAAAATTCATTAGCTCGACTACCATGTCATATTTACCTTACAACAGCCGAGGATGATGGCTTTATACATCCGTGGAGTTTTTTCTACATTAAGTGATGATATGAATTTGTCTACCGCTTCAATAGGTCTGATACAAAAAGAAAAAAACATATAATTCCACATTTCCATTAAAAGACGTTAAGTTCATCTTTGGAATAAAATGAAATCTAGGATATGGTGAAATTTCCTTTTAGAAGACTATCTTTACCCAACTTATCTAATACATTATACAGAGAAAACTATTACAAGAATTCCTCAGAAGTGTGTGTATGGTGATAAGTGACAAAGAGCAGCAGGATAATACAGAGAAAATGTTTTAACCTTTTTTTATGTTGGTCTTGTTAAAGATACACATATGTCTAACCAATGGAATAAATATCTTACATTGGTGGTATAGGATTGTAACCAGCCCTACTGTATCATTATATACAGGTACAGTATAATTATCTCACACAGTGGTGGTATAGGATTGTAACCAGCCCTACTGTATCATTGTAACCAGCCCTACTGTATCATTATATACAGGTACAGTATAATTATCTCACACAGTGGTGGTATAGGATTGTAACCAGCCCTACTGTATCATTATATACAGGTACAGTATAATTATCTCACACAGTGGTGGTATAGGATTGTAACCAGCCCTACTGTATCATTATATACAGGTACAGTATAATTATCTCACACAGTGGTGGTATAGGATTGTAACCAGTTCTACTGTATCATTATATACAGGTACAGTATAATTATCTCACACAGTGGTGGTATAGGATTGTAACCAGTTCTACTGTATCATTATATACAGGTACAGTATAATTATCTCACACAGTGGTGGTATAGGATTGTAACCAGTTCTACTGTATCATTATATACAGGTACAGTATAATTATCTCACACAGTGGTGGTATAGGATTGTAACCAGCTACAGTATAATTATCTCACACAGTGGTGGTATACTATATACAGGCAGTGTAACCAGGTCTACTGTATCATTATATACAGGTACAGTATAATTATCTCACACAGTGGTGGTATAGGATTGTAACCAGTTCTACTGTATCATTATATACAGGTACAGTATAATTATCTCACACAGTGGTACAGTATAATTATCTCACACAGTGGTATAGGATTGTAACCAGCTGAAATTTTCTACTGTATCATTATATACAGGTACAGTATAATTATCTCACACAGTGGTGGTATAGGATTGTAACCATCTCTTCTGTATCATTATATACAGGTACAGTATAATTATCTCACACAGTGGTGGTATAGGATTGTAACCAGTTCTACTGTATCATTATATACAGGTACAGTATAATTATCTCACACAGTGGTGGTATAGGATTGTAACCAGCCCTACTGTATCATTATATACAGGTACAGTATAATTATCTCACACAGTGGTGGTATAGGATTGTAACCAGTTCTACTGTATCATTATATACAGGTACAGTATAATTATCTCACACAGTGGTGGTATAGGATTGTAACCAGGTCTACTGTATCATTATATACAGGTACAGTATAATTATCTCACACAGTGGTGGTATAGGATTGTAACCAGTTCTACTGTATCATTATATACAGGTACAGTATAATTATCTCACACAGTGGTGGTATAGGATTGTAACCAGGTCTATTTTATCATTTTATTTACTACTAACAGGTACTTACTTTGGTTTGTTCAATTCTTTACTGAGATTAAGTTGTTTATGGAATGGATGGTCAGTAATCTTATCGTGGTCTGATCCAAAGTAATACATGACAATTTCAACCAGGTCCTCCACTGTATTCACGGAAACACTTCCACCTGTTGTATTGAAATACTTAAAACTGAAGAATTAACAAAGACATGTTCCTATTGTAGTCACTATAATAAACATTTTGTTTACTCTGGCTGTACCCCTTCCCTCAGGTCCTATGGACAAGGTGAGGTTAAATTTGTAAATATTCATAACTTCTAAACACATGACTGTCCTATAACATGGAACAGTCAGAGACTACATGAATATCCCTGAGGTAACCTAATGATTAAACATACAAAGATTTTTTGTGACTTAATCATCACATAATTCTCTAAATGAATTACACATTTGTCATTAGTGTATGTAAAGGATACCAGTATGTACTGGTATAGATTGAGGCTGGTGAGCTTTGGATCTCTGAAGATTTCTATTACCATTTCCAATGATCTCCTCATATAGCTGTACAGCATCGGACAGAAGATTTAACTGTATTCTTTCTTGTAAGGCCTCTTCTGAAACTTCTTCTACCTTTGCCTCACCCTGTATTGGCTCAAATGCCTGAAATATTATCAAAATCAAATTGAAAGGTGCTCAATAAAGTTTAACCTATCCCTGCCTTTAAAATGGGCAAGAGGGGAAAAAACAATAATAACTGAAGCATACTGAGAGACACTCTGTGAATACCTACTTGAGAAACTTTTATGTAAAAACAAAGCACAATAGCATGACGGACAGACTCACATAAATCACCAATTACACCAGTATATCCATTTACACAAAATCAAGATAATTTCACCTAAGGATGCTTTAGATCTGGTAAAATTCTCTTTATCTAAAAGTGGAGACAGATTTTAACTATCTTAAAGACCAACTCTCTCCTTCACAAACTATGTCTCCATCATCAAAGAATGGTCTAATCCTAATTTGGTACAACAATCTTTATCTAAAATGAAGGAGGATTTTTAATCCTCTATGTGCTTTATTTGGCCCCACCTTTCTACCCTAAGCAGGACTATATCTTTAAATGATCTGGACAAAAGTCCCAAATATGGATGCTCTTAACCAAATTGGGCAGCCATACAAACCCATATTTTGACAAGTAGCACATAAAGAAAACATTAATCAAAGAAGAATGCTGTGTCAGACTATAGAGTTGCCCAGTCCTTTCTGACCACCTAAAAATCATCCACAAACAGTGTGCAAATCACGAATACTTACAGGTATGTGAGGTACACTCTTCTCAAATGCAAAACATTCTGGAAACCTCTGTATGAAATACTGAGCAGACACTTTTCCAGAAATTAAAGGTAATCGATGAGTCACCTAAAATGTGAAAATATATACATGTACAATATCTTACAGTAGTCAAGGTGTAGATCTACAGTAGTCAGGGTGTAGATCTACAGTATCTTACTGAAGTCGGGGTGGAGATCTACAATAGTCAGGGTGTAGATCTACAGTATCTTACAGTAGTCAGGGTGTAGATCTACAGTATCTTACAGTAGTCAGGGTGTAGATCTACAGTATCTTACAGTAGTCAGGGTGTAGATCTACAGTAGTCAGGGTGTAGATCTACAGTATCTTACAGTAGTCAGGGTGTAGATCTACAGTAGTTAGGGTGTAGATCTACAGTATCTTACAGTAGTCAGGGTGTAGATCTACAGTATCTTACAGTCAGGGTATAGATCTACAGTATCTTACAGTAGTCAGGGTGTAGTTCTGGAATAGTCGTGGTGTAGATCTACAGTATCTTACAGTAGTCAGGGTGTAGATCTACAGTATCTTACAGTAGTTAGGGTGTAGATCTACAGTAGTCAGGGTGTAGATCTACAGTATCTTACAGTAGTCAGGGTGTAGATCTACAGTATCTTACAGTAGTCAGGGTGTAGATCTACAGTATCTTACAGTAGTCAGGGTGTAGATCTACAATAGTCAGGGTGTAGATCTACAGTAGTCAGGGTGTAGATCTACAGTATCTTACAGTAGTCAGGGTGTAGATCTACAGTATCTTACAGTAGTCAGGGTGTAGATCTACAGTATCTTACAGTAGTTAGGGTGTAGATCTGCAGTAGTCAGGGTGTAGATCTACAGTAGTTAGGGTGTAGATCTGCAGTAGTCAGGGTGTAGATCTGCAGTAGTCAGGGTGTAGATCTACAGTAGTCAGGGTGTAGATCTACAGTAGTTAGGGTGTAGATCTGCAGTAGTCAGGGTGTAGATCTACAGTAGTTAGGGTGTAGATCTGCAGTAGTCAGGGTGTAGATCTACAGTATCTTACAGTAGTCAGGGTGTAGATCTGCAGTAGTCAGGGTGTAGATCTACAGTAGTCAGGGTTTAGATCTACAGTATCTTACAGTAGTCAGGGTGAAGGGACCAAGGTGAACTGACAAATGAAGTTTGAGAATTATTCATCTAATGCTTCTCTGGAAACAGTGATAACAAAGTATTACATCAAAACATTATCTTATCAATTTTTTTCAGACAATATCAAAGATTGCTGCCCTTTTCTTTTTCAGGTCAGTCCTGAAATCAGGCAATGTACAATAAGGGATCAAGAGGAAGCTACAGGAACCTATATGAAATTTGAACTTAATTCATCTTGTTCTTTTAAAGAAACAGGGATAACAAGAATTGTTTAAGGACAGATGGAACACAGATGAAAGGTGATTTAAACAGTCAACTATCTGATGATGGCGGGCTAAACATTAAATATCATCGAACAATATGTCGAGAACAAAATATTTTTCATCCTTAAGTAATTGTAGTATGGTAAGACCACAGATAAACTTACAGAGTGCTGGTTGTATGGTAACAGAAATGGGTCATCAGTGAACATTGGCTGGTAGTCTGGGACCAAGTGATTCTGTGTAATATAATCAAGATACGTCACAACCATTTGAATACATATGTAACACACACACTTACATAGCTTAGTGTCCAACAATAATGTGTTAAATATATAGATATTTCTCTGTATGGCTTTGGCCTTTTTTTTAATTTGTATTTAAACATTAGAGTGTTTCATGAGCAGCCTCCACGAAGAACCAAATATAATATTATCCTCCGAACAAATCTACATTAATATAATAAATATCATAACAATAGTCTTTTCTACATCAATTTTGATTAGTATTACTGATAAATGATAAAACCTACTAGTAGACATCATGACATCAATGAATGAGCCAATAATTACACCCACCTTGCCAGTGACTTCTGAGAGAGCACGTAAAACAGACAAAGAATCTCTGAAAAAAAAATCATTTTGTCACTTTCCTAAAAATTTCATTCTATTTCTACCTTACTTTCCATCTTTCTTTACCTTACATTGTAATAGTTATCGTAACTAGAAATGAAATGGGATCAATTTTAGACATGTCATTGAGACAATTCTGTAAACAATCAAGCCTGGCAGTAAATATCAAATTACTGGTTGATGCAGTTTAATATTGTCAACATTATCATATATTCTTTAATATATCTAAACTTTGGCAAGAACAGTAGAAACATAGGTTTAACAGTTTGGATTCATCAAATATTATATAGGCAAAGGATTTTAAATATTTTAAAAGATTTCCCCCTTTAGGTCTCCTACCAAACTTAAGACAAAATACTGTCACTTCTACAGCAGATGATTGAAGGAAATTTGCTATATATCCCCTATTGGGCCCTGTACCTCGAGCTCCAGGGGAACAACGTTAACATAAAATTGCTTCTTTTTCATCTAAGGATGCTTTAGAACAAATTGGAACAGAATTCAAACATTGCCATTAGTCAAAATTAATTCATTTGTTCATGACTAATCCCCATCAGCAATTTTCAATAGAAAGTTGCCAGACACAGATGTATGCCAAGCCATGGCATGAGTTCATTGGTCCTTCACAAAAAATTCTATAAATACAGATTTACACTGATATTCTCTGGGTAACATAGCATTAAGGTAAACAACGAGGTGGTAAATATTCAATCAATGTTTTATCTAGTCTGGTTTAGATCATGTCTTTTAAACTTTATCATCTGATTATATTGAGGTACTTTTTCAAAATGAAAAAAATATTTGTTGAAGTTGAAAATTTTTTTTTCAGTCATGTATAAATCATCTGCCCACAAAATCTCTTGGAATATTGTCAAGATTAATTTTTTAGCCACAAAATCTCTTGGAATGTTGCCGAAATCAAGTTGGGTTTTTTCCCAACTGCGATGTCCTATGCCTATAGCAATTATTGTTTATATTTATCTTGGAATGTGCTATCCTGAGATCCTGGAGAAAACAGTGTTTTATTTACAATAAAAAACATAAGTACAATTACTATTACTTACCTTTTCTTCTTCTTTGGTATCTTTATATCTCTTTTTTTTCGCATCAGTTTAGCCTGGGTTGGTGTGATCGCTTGGGCAGCTGTAAAAACAAAATAATTTTATACTTTAGATAGTAACTTTTCATTCATCAGTATTTCCAGTGTTTTATGTTGGTTTTTAGACAAATTCTGGACTGCTTTGATAATTTTTACCATGGTAATCTGGAAAACTTTGGAAAAGAACCAAGATTTTTTTATGTGTAGGGAAATGAATTTCACTATACAATAAACATACATTAAGTGACTCTCTGATCACTCCAGAAACTTCTATAGCAACATTTGTATAATATATTACGCATTCAATAAATATACACAAATGAACAAAATATTAATGTTTATAAATTCTGGTCATTAAAGGTTTTGTTTTTTTAAATTTAGAATGATTTTAATATTAATAATATCTTCATGCAGATCCTTTTGAAAGTTTTGTGAGTGACAATATATATTGGAAACTGCACTTTTAGATATTTTTTTAACAAAGTGATATCTATAGATATTTAAAAACAACACATTTATATTTGCGGTTCCTCTGGAACTGTAAACATACTTAGAGTTTCTAAAGATAACTCATGTCTAACTAAAAGGCTAACAATTAGGACAACGACTCACCCATATGGCAACATCTGTGATGTGTACTTCCATAGATATGATTCAAGGTTGCTTGTAGCAATCTGGGTTGAAATTAAAATATTCATTAATTCAAATCACAATAAAACTCTATGTTAAACCTTCTAATGCATCTCAGTTGATGCATGAAGATTGTACAAAAGAAATGCAGCACCTTTTAATTAAAATCAAACAAAGGTTTTGTCCTTCTAGAATCCATCAGTGGTTCAGTGATGTTAATAAAGTTTTGAAACCTAAAAACCAAACTTGGTACAAAGGTGTATTGTGCTCATAAATACAATATATCTGTTGATGTTGTTAAACTTTATTGAGTACTTTTAAAGACATTTTCTGAAGAAACTTTACAATACTTTTTGTCACTTGTTGAAGCATTTTTTTTTTTGGACAGATATCCATTCATTACAGTCAATCGGTCAATCTAAAAAGTGTCAAAAAATGTCAACAAGTGTCAACAAATGTCAACAAGTGTCAACAAGTGGCAACAAATGTCAACAAGTGGCAACAAATGTCAACAATAATAGTAAAGCATCTTCAGAAAACATCATTTAAAATACTCTATAAGTTAGTGACATCAACACATATGTTGTTAATATGACCATTATACCAATATGACCAATGTGTTGTAGATATGATTATAATACATTAATGTACCCAGTTTCAGTTTCATATACGAAAAAATTACCTAGTTGTGGCAATTTTACTACAAGAAGATCGACAGCTTGGCACATGTATGTATGTTTTATACAAATCCCATGGGTTGTTGTGAAGCATCTTCGGGTTGTATCTTTTAAAGTACTAAATGAAGTCAGCAACATCAAAAGATTTGAGATTTTGAGATTTGAAGTAACTCAAAGTTACTATATTCTCAATACATGTATTGATATTGTCATACCTTTGTCATTTTTTCATATCTGAAACTAATGTATTATGATCATGTTTAACAGCATATCTTTTGATGTCCCTAACATTATCAAATATTCTAAGATATAAAGTTTGAAGACATTGATCGCAAGTAACATATCTTCTCTGAATTTATGTTACCATCATCACAATTGAGTGTCTCCACACCTTGTTTTGTGATGCATCCACAGTTCATAAGGCTTAACTTTTTATATTTAACACATAGAGAAATACACTCAGGATAATATATTTTGTCAGATTTCCTCCAAATACAAACTCTGTTTTTTTTCCCAATCATAATCTGACTTTCATTATAACTTTTTTTCCAGTCCTCCTCCACATAGAACTGTTTTTCATTGCACCATGTTTCCAGTTGAAGGGAGAAATTCTGAGGCTGTGACGTTTCCAATGATGTAAGCGTGTTTGGCTGATTAATGTATCGTGTAAACAGTTCCGACTTTATCAACGTGGAAATTGACATAACGCCATTGTGGAATGGTTTATCATTCCACTACTTTTGTCAAAAGACTTTATATAAAAAAAAAAAACAAGAGATCCCAGAGGGATCTTTGTGGCCACCATCTTTATATGCTCTTTGAATGTTGGATCTTTTCCCTTCTTTTCTCCCCTGTTTTTGCTCTTAATGATAAGACATTTGAACATTCCTTTGCAGAAATAAATGATAATCTTTACCTGTCAAATCCAAAATGACCACCTGGAAGCCATTTTGTTTCTTCTAATCAGTCCCAAAAGCAAACGAACACAAGGAGAGATATCCATTCAGTACTTCTTCAGAAATAGCAATAACAATCTTCACTTGTCAAAATCCGAGATGGCCGTCTGTCGGCCAGTTCGTTTTTTCTGATCAGTCCCAAACTCAAATAGGCGCAACCAGGGACCAAAAGAACCCTATACATGAAATATGAGAGAGATACATCCAGTCCTTCTCAATAAAGAGCGATAACAAACTTTGAAAAATTAAAAACAAGACGGCCGCCTGTCAGCAATTTCGTTTTTTTGACCAATCCCAAAATCAAACAGGCACAACTAGGGACCAAGGGGAACCTACATATGCAATTTGAGAAAGATTCATACAGGACTTATCAAGAAAGAGCGATAACAAAAATTGTGTACGGACGTTAGTCGCAGAGCGATATGAACCTAAAAAATACCAACATAGATTCGTCGTCATCAATGCTTATTTAAAAGTTTACATATTCCTTTGTCTTTCGTGGAGATACTTATATGTTGCGTGTCAGAGATCATGAAGACTTCGTTGCACTAGCTGTTACGTTTATTTTATATGTTTTGTTCCATCTCACTTCATGATCGGACTCGAGTCATTTTGTATCAAGATGGAGCCGGCAACTATAAGGTTAAGGTAAATTAGTCTTAGTTCAATTGATTTAGACATGTTTGAGATAAACAATTATCGTTATCGTTAGATGTGTAAAGTGAAATATGCCATGATTTGGAGGAGTAACACTCACCGTTGTGTATTATTGCAGTGCTTCCATGCTAAATGCATGGAGGTCGCCATTTTTACATTTCAGAGCGTTTGACCGCCAAGATGGGTGCTACTGAAAGACGGATTTCCAACGATTGCCGGATAACACCCTTACCTCAATTGGGGTTACAAGCGTCGGCTAGACAGAGATTTTCCTAAACCCGGAAGTTTTGAACAAGGAAGTAAGATAGGTGAACTTTGAAAAGTTTAAGTTTACTGTCAGAACGTCGCACTAAGTTACATTTGACAGTACTTATTATTGGAGGTTTGGAAAGAAAGATATGCGTGTATTTTAAAGGGGTCAGTGACGTTGACAACTGTTCTTGGTATTGCTGACGGTAAGATGGGTATTATTAATGTAGATGTGATGCCTTTAAAAATATTTATGGATATATATATATATATATTGCAGCTTCTTGTGACTGTTGATGGAACCTCGCATATATTTTTAACTGCATTCTCTGCTTACACTAATCAAAGACATGCGTCTAGACTGTGAATATAAACCCTATCTTACCGGTATAATAAGCTGTGGAATGTTCACGCTTTGTTGATTTATAAACATTTGGATTTGTCACGATCAGTCCCGTACTGGTAAGACTCATGATCTTATTCATGCCTCAAAACCATCACAATTTGTATTGAGTATTGAGTTGATTTTTTATATTACAAACGTAACAAATTCACAATACATGCACTTTGTTATCTAATACAATTGATCCATACATGCAGATACTACAGATCATTAATTAAAAGATATAATATATATGTAACAAAGTTATTTTCTGGAGGTATCTTTATTAATATCCTAGAATTTTAGTGATATGAAAAGCCAAAACTTGATAGGAGCATCGTTTTCCTTAATTGACATTGTATTTTGTATCAAGAAAAACGTGATCATAGTTCCTGTAGTAATTATCTCTTTATTGAAAGGGGGATAATTTACAAATTGATTTGACATAGGAAAAAACTGCTGTATATAATTAAACCATGCTCTCTGATCTGTTTCCAATATTTCTAGAAATTATAGAGGAATGTAGATTGAAAATACAAAACAGGTGATGAGCTATAGAGACTCACTGGGTCTAGATCTCCTGTTTGTGAAACTCTGTCGACTGAATGAACAAAATTAATATCTGTAGACAAGATTTTTTATGTCATTTAATTTTATAGACTTAGAATAAACCCATTATTTTCACCAAAAGATCTAAAATGTTTAATGGGAGTTTGAGGCCATTAAAACATGATGATATGAATTAATCAATTAAATCAAAGATACAACAATTCAATGAACATCTGTATAGAATTAATTTACTTCTTTATGATTATTTCACATAATTATTAACAGAAAAATGACGAAACGGAAACTACTAAAATTTTCCTTGAAGAGAAATTAGCCTAGATTGTTGTGTTTCATCATATCAGTGTTTAGTATATACAATTTTGCATTGTGATATCCCTATAAATGTTGGGGACTTATATAATATACATTGTCACATAGACACCAGCAGAAGAAACATTTCATGATCAAAGAAGACTGATTGTTCATCAGAAAGTTTCTAGCTGTAGCACAACTGGTTATTTTCTTGTGTATGATATTTTCACTATTTCGCAGTACATTTAAGTAAGTTTTATCTGTGAAATACTGAGACGTGTGTATTTGATGTTCTTTTTCTTGAACACCAATTTTTTATTTGTTAAGATAACATTTTGACCATTTTATTACAAAATCTCAAGCTATAAGATAAAGCATCACAAGGAGTTTCCTTATTTCTGGGTTTTGTGTATTTTTTCAGTGTAGCTGATCCACGTGATGAGCCGCCCGCGGAGAGAACTACCCCTCCCAGGAGATTCTGCCCCGGCAATTCGCAGGCCTCTAGTAAGTTTGATTCTGATATTAGTGACATGCACCTAGTGATGGCCTCTCCTATATATACCTGTATTGATCACCTGGATGTTTAATTATTTTTTATAACGCTGTTTGAAATCTCTATAAAATTTATTAATCAGAAAAAAAGGATTTTCTTTGTCATTGCACTGTTGTAGTGTACATTGGTTACATTACAATATGGATGGTAAATAATTATTTGATATAATGTTGTCTTTATGAAGTTCTTTATTTACCAAACAGTATTTTTAATCGCTTTTTATGTTCAATTTTTTCTATTATGTTATAGCCTGGCACTCCAGATGATGATACTAACAGAGGTCCACCTCCACCACTTCCATCAAGAGGGGGTGGGGCCTCCAGTGGACCCAGCCGAAAACCCCTTCCTACTCCCACTCCTCCAAGTAAGGTAAGGTCTTACTGATATCCTCCCTTCCTATATATCCTACCTCGACTGAGTTGTCTATTCCTGATACCAAAAATCGTCAGTAAGTTTTCTCTAGGTGGCATTCTTTGTCTGTTTTATCAATATTTAAAGTATCATGATTTTTTTTTAAATTCATGGGTGTTTTTTATTATGTATGTATTGTGCTGTAAGTATGGTGCTGCATGAGTTGATGTATCATGGGCAATGTTGAAATAGAACATGGCTTGTAATGGTTAATCATTATACATTGTTTGATTATATTTGCTTCAACAGTTTTGCATCTGCTACATATGCTTGTACAAATAGATCTGTTCCCATGGTGATTGTAAACGGTCAAGGTCATCAGACCAGTTAAAGTTGAAACCAGGAAATCTGCACCAAAATATAAAAGCTAGATTGAACCATCTGTCTAAGTCTACGAAATGTTGAAACTTAATTGACTGGTTACAATGAACAATTTCATTTTGAATGAGATTTTATAAAGTATTTAATTTGTTTGGAAGCTTGCTTTAAACATTTCTCTTTTCCTTTGGTCTGTACTTTTGCAAATTGACTTAAATACTGGTTTGGATTGTAAGGTAATTATACATCTATTACAAGGCTGACAGACAGATGAACATTTACACAATAAAATTTAAGTCAGTATTAGGTTTGATTACAGTCTTATCTAACAGGACCATTTCTTACAGGCAGTTACTAAATGCTGAATTTGTAAATGGTGTATATAAATTGAGCAGTGCAAAAGACAGTTAAGAAATAAAGAAAGAAAAGATCTTATGTAGAACCACTTAGGTCATATAATGTATTTCACCAGTGTAAATACTTAGTACAAATTAGAATATTTTCTCTACAAACATGTTAGTTTAAGAAGATATCTACATTTCATTTTAAGTTAAACATATATTTACAAATGTATTATATGTTCTGTAATTAATTTTTATCTTAACTGTAACTAAGTATCAATTGTTATGAACCATAGCCTTAGATATCAGAGTTAATCCCTTAATTCTAAGTGTAAACAAGAAGAGATTAGGCTTTTAACTCTGTTATACTTAATTAGTAGGCATTTAATTGGTATCATGCAGGTCTACAGTAAGTGTCACCAATTACTTTATTGTCTGAAGAACTTTGAGTTAAAAGTAATTGTCTCTTGTCAGTAATTGTCAACGTAAACTATAAGTATAGGTTGCCTATTTGTGTGAGAGGGGAGTTTGATGTAGGTTTTACCCAGAGACAGTCTTAGTGACACTCAGTCTGTCTGATTAGTGTCAATCTTCCCTTGAACTTTAAGTTGGATTTATTTTTTGAGCCTTAATGCAGACATTGTACAGTTGAAATTTATGTAGTGACATGGATAATAGTGTTCAATATGGTGACTTGGCGTCTCCTTCAATATGTAAAATCTTGTGGCTATTAATGTTTGTATAATTAGATCTTACTGTGTAAATAAATATATCAATTAATGTAACTTTGTTTCTTCTCTACCCAAATTAATTTCCCCTTCATTTGACAACATAGTCTGTGAACAAGTGACCTGGAGCTGATTGGGATCTACAACATAAATATGATTAAATTAACATCATTATCCAGCAACTAAACACGACTTGGCTGGGCCCTGATCATAGTAATGATGTAAACATCCCTCACAAACTCTTATTTACACAAGTTACAAGACCAATTTAATTAATATTCAATTTTGACATTTTTAAAAAATTTATTGTAAAGTTAAAAAGAAACCCAAATGCATTTGTATTAATTGAACTATTATTCCTTTAACATATATACACATCTGTTCATGTTGAAGCATACTTAGTAATGAATCAGTAGAAAGCTATTTAAACATTATGGGTTTATATTCTAGACATGTGTCCCAAATTCCAAAAAATGTGAAGTAAGAAATTCCTGTGTGAAATACTACAGTTTAAGATTAAGATATGATCTCTTTTATGATACCATTTTTGTAGGTTCAGCTTTATTGTGTGTGTGACCTTGAAGCCATTGGTTCAGCTTTATGTGTGTGACCTTGACCCTATCCACAAACACACAGATTTTATTATGCTTATAACATATACAATATAAAACCGTAGGAGAATCAATTGCAACAAGAACAAGTGTCACTAGTTAGTGGGTAATTTTTACTAATTGTCTACTAGTTTCGCCTCTATTCGAGGCTTCATCAGGACGATTTTTTGTACATTTTAGCCCCCTGAAGTACTTTTTTCGAGGGTTCAGAATTAACTATGACGTATTTACATTGACAATAGAGTAAGGGCAGATAAGCCCTAAAGTTGACGTTATACTTTGCCAAATTATGGTATTATTGAAGTTCATGAAGTATGCAAATAACTAAAGTCCAATCAAAATGATAATAATGATAATAATAACGAAAAGCGTTTATTGTTCATTATGGGTAGGCTAGTTCGTCCAGGCAAATGGTGGCATCTGATGTTGAGGCATAGGCCAGCTTCTTATAAACCACTAAGGGTCCAGGTAATTCTGTGGAGCTGATACTCTTGACGGAAGAGTTGTCGGAAGACGAGTCACTCAACAACAGGTCTCCCTTCAGTAAGTCAATGGGAATCTTATCTTCTGTTTGAGCTGGTTTTTGAGTATGCGGCCCTGGGGGATTCCTCTCCTTGGCCGGTACTACCCTGAATTTGGCCTTCTCTAGTTGTTGTTTAGTAAGTGTTTCTAATGGTCTTTTCCATTTGTCTGGAATGGTCGCTTCATTCCTGACCTCATCTGTGAAGACTTCGGGTTCAATGCGGTAAAAAGGGTGTTTTTCTTTTAAATGGCGTTCATAGAGATCTCTTCTTCCAAAGGTGCGTTTACATATTTTGCACTGAAATCTAGTGTTACTGTTCATGCTATGTATTCTGCTGACATGCCTCCGTAATGAACTTAAGTTGGCTAGTCTCTTACCACATAGGATGCACGGCATCTTGATATTCCCTGCATCCTTTCGGTGGTGTTAAGTAGGTGTGGACTTGGTCTTCGGCATATTTATGAAATGATGTTCATACCCCACGGTTTACGTGTGCGTAGAATATGAATCCAACTCTCACAAATACCGGATATGATACCGGTAATTATGACGTCCTCTGTATTGTGTCCTGACACAGTCAATACCCGAATCCGCAACCATCTATACGATATAGCCCGCAGAGAGGAAAGAAAGCCAGTAGCGGCACATTTTAATAGCTCAGGACACAATACAGAGGACGTCATAATTACCGGTATCGTATCCGGTATTTGTGAGAGTTGGATTCATATTCTACGCACACGTAAACCAAATTCAGGGTATAACGTCAACTTTAGGGCTTATCTGCCCTTACTCTATTGTCAATGTAAATACGTCATAGTTAATTCTGAACCCCGAAAAAAGTACTTCAGGGGGCTAAAATGTACAAAAAATTGTCCTGATGAAGCCTCGAATAGAGGCGAAACTAGTAGACAATTAGTAAAAATTACCCACTAACTGGTGACACTTGTTCTTGTTGCGATTGATTCTCCTACGGTTTTATATTTGATATTTCGTTAATCACCCTGCATACCTTTGGTATCCAAGCTCAAGTGAAGTGCCTCACAGAAGAAACCACTTACCTGATACTGACGTTGGCTCTATTTATTTATTTAATATACAATATAAGATATGTGTATATTGCATATATAATTTTTTTTTCTCTAACAGCTGCCTTCACGGAACCCGCTTGATGTAAGTGATGTGTACATTAGTGGACTAATATGCTATATTACACTTCCATTAATATTCCTGTTGAAGATTGTAACTACCATTAAATCAGACATTACTGCTGGAATAACATGCTTTACTAAGGGCAAACAATTATTTCCTTGTATTAATCAAGGGTGATTATTACATAATTAACATGCTGAGACAATCATATCATGTCTAATTGTGTTATACAGTACAGGATGTATTAAACTTTAAAATGGTAATGAAAAAATATCATGCACATACAAATTCTGACAACTGACAGATGTAGAACCAAGTTCACATCAACCCTATGGCCTCTTCTTATGATAACCAGAATCTTGGATTCAGTTTCACTGTTTTCATTTTAGTACTAGAGGGACTTAAGTTTGTTAGAATGAAAACTTGTTGAATTTCAAATTAATTAAGGATTAAATTTAATATGGAAAAGTCTATTTCTGAACTATAGTCACAAGCTATTGACAACAAATTTCTGTGAAGAAGAAAATATTTTTGTATGTGTTTGAATAAAATTTGTGAAACATTTTAATTACATGGTCTTTTGATAATTGTGATCTGAAATATGAAAATGTATGAAATATGATAAAAATATATATGATTTGTATATAAAAAAAGTAACAAGAAGAATGGTATAAAGGTTTATTTGAGTGTGTTAGAGCAAATGTCAGATATACTGTGGCAAAGAAGAAAATTATTAAAAAGCATAAATATTAGCCAAGACTCTTATGTTTATAGTAAATGTATACTTGGATCAAACCTTGTTATAAAAATGAAAGCAATAGAAAAAATATTACAACAAGGATTTCCTGTATCTCATTGTTCTTGCCTTCAACTCTTATTTCACTTATGTAATTCAGCTTACAAGATGGTAGGTCTTAAGTGGATTAAACATATAATGAGTTGTCTCCTCTGAAATTTCACTACGTGTAATGATTACTGCATAGGCATGTTGTGTTGAGTGTACATATACTGGTAGTGAGTAGTCTCCCCTTAAGTTTCACTCCATTGAGACATAGTGTGTTTAGCGTACATATAGAGAGGTGTTTCTCCTGAATTTTCACTCTGTGCATTGATAACTATTGAGATATGTTGTGTTGAGTGTAGTTTCACCATGTGTAATATATCCATTGAGACATGGCAAATTAAATGTACATATCGTGAGTTGCCTTCCCTGAAGTTTCACTGTATAGAATGTTATCATAGAGATATGGCATATTAAATGTACATATAGTGAGTTGTCTCCCCTGAAATTATCTACATGTAATTATTATCATTGAGATATGTTGCTGTTATGAGAAAATCTACATCTATATCATCAGTGTAGATTTGTAAAAGTGTATAGAACATGAAATATTTGTTAGTTGTTGATTTTGTGGTGATTTTTTTTTTATTGTTTTTAGGCACAAACTCTCCTGGTAATATCATGTAAAACAAATGGTAGACAAGTACATAAACAAAATTGTTATATCAAAATGTCTTAGTCATACCAGATATATGATTCATTCTAATCATCAAAACCACAATTGTATATTCACAGCACACTAAGTGCACATTACAAGCAGACACTTAATGGTAGTTAGGATTTTTCAGGATGGTTAATTTACTGTCAACATTTTAACCTCTGTTCAGAGAGCAGAAGAAGCACACCCAGTGCCAGTACCTCGGCAATCCCAACATGGTCGCCTCCCACCACCACCACCCAGTAGGGGTCATACTACACATATAAAAAAGCAAGAGGTGGATTTCTGTTTTTGCATGTCTGAAATATTTATGTCTGCTGCTAAATAAACACTAATTATATCTGCAAGGGTAAAGTCTACTTGGGGATAATCTGTTTCTAAGCCATTTCTCTAACATAATAAGGATGTCAGGAACTGTAATAATCAATGGTGTATTCTTTTGGAAAATCATTTAAAAAGAAAAAATTATCAATTTATGATCTAAATGGTATGTACATGTAGTAAGATACACAATTATTCTGAGGTAAAAGATACATTTGAATGTAGCCATATAAAATATGACATAATTTTGATGTAGTCTTGTAACATTAGTGATACCAGGGGATGTTTTTTTGTCAGTGTACACACTGCTTTCTATTTCTGCATACTGTGTTCTTGTTAAGGTACTGTCTTTTATTCACTGCTAATATCTGACCACATTCTTATACATTTTCATTTCTGTAATTGTAATTTTCATTTAATTGTTTACTGTTGCCTGTTTGGGTTGAATTAGACACACAAGTATAATTTACATAATGTTTCTGTTCAGAAGTTAAAAAACCTAAACTGTTTTCTTAAATTGGTGTTAAACATGCCCCTAAAATTGCATGTAGTTAATCCACCCTTACTCTTTATAATCATTGGTTGTTGTTTTACTACAGAAAAATTGTTTGTGTATATGTTGTATTCAAAGAGGAAAATGGTAATTGAAGTCGATCTTAGCTTTGAATAAAGTGTTGGAATTTTTGTTTCCATTAATGGCATCCTTCCTTTGAAAAAAAATGTTGTGTAGTCTAACTAAGCAATCAGTAAGGTAATGTTTAACTACCCAATCAAAAACCATCATAGTAACAAGCCAATAAATCATGTGTTACTAGCCGATCAAAAACCATCATAGTAACAAGCCAATAAATCATGTGTTACTAGCCAATCAAAAACCATCATAGTAACAAGCCAATAAATCATGTGTTACTAGCCAATCAAAAACCATCATAGTAACAAGCCAATAAATCATGTGTTACTAGCCAATCAAAAACCATCATAGTAACAAGCCAATAAAACATCATGTGTTACTAGCCAATCAAAAATCATCATAGTAACAAGCCAATAAAACATCATGTGTTACTAGCCAATCAAAAACCATCATAGTAACAAGCCAATAAATCATGTGTAACTAGCCAATCAAAAACCATCATAGTAACAAGCCAATAAATCATGTGTTACTAGCCGATCAAAAACCATCATAGTAACAAGCCAATAAAACATCATGTGTTACTAGCCAATCAAAAACCACCAAGCCAATAAATCATCATGTGTTAGCCAATCAAAAACCATCAGCAAGCAATAAAACATCATGTGTTACTAGCCAATCAAAAACCATCATAGTAACAAGCCAATAAAACATCATGTGTTACTATTCAATCAAAAACCATCATAGTAACAAGCCAATAAAACATCATGTGTTACTAGCCAATCAAAAACCATCATAGTAACAAGCCAATAAAACATCATGTGTTACTAGCCAATCAAAAACCATCATAGTAACAAGCCAATAAATCATCATGTGTTACTAGCCAATCAAAAACCATCATAGTAACAAGCCAATAAAACATCATGTGTTACTAGCCAATCAAAAACCATCATAGTAACAAGCCAATAAAACATCATGTGTTACTATCCAATCAAAAACCATCATAGTAACAAGCCAATAAAACATCATGTGTTACTAGCCAATCAAAAACCATCATAGTAACAAGCCAATAAAACATCATGTGTTACTAGCCAATCAAAAACCATCATAGTAACAAGCCAATAAAACATCATGTGTTACTAGTGGTTCTTTTATCTCACTGTATTAACACTGTGTTATTATTTGGTGTTAACCTTGTGATGAGTAGCATGCCATTTTGATATACTTTTTTTTTGCATGTTAATTACACTTTTTGAAGTCTTATCGCACTTATTTCAGCAGAGATATAATTGTATGTGACTTGTATGTCGAAATGCCACAGGTGTTAAGTGCCCAAATAATTAGAGTTATCTAGTTCTTACAAGGGATAGAGACCTTTAGTGACAAGCAATGTTTTTTTTTTTTTTTTTTTTAAAAACTTGAGGAAGCAGTGATCTTGTGCAAGCAAGAGCAGATTCTTCCAACGTTCGATAAAATATGTTTATATCAGTGTTAACTATAAATTTATACACCAAGGATAATCTGTTGGTAGGAAGGAAAAGACAGCTTATGTTTATAACATACTGAGATAGCAGTAAGATTGAGGAAGTGTTGTGTTAAACACTTACATATATCTTATGCACTTGTCACAAGGAAAATTATATGCAGTGGTATTGGGTAACAGACTATATGTAACCCTAACAGATACAGTGGTGGGAGATTAAAGGTAACTTTCCTACCTTCCTTAACAAGTAATTATAAATATTAAGGGGAGGTTGTAAGGTAGTGGCCAGTGACATGATTATAAAGGAGATATAATAAAGGATTGACAAGCCACATTTCATTAAGGGGAGGTAAAAGATTATTTGACAAGTAATGTTATCATGTAGGGGAGGTAATAAGGTATTTGACAAGTGATGCTATCATAAAGAGGAGGTAATAAGGTTATTTGACAAGTGATATTATCATGTAGGGGAGGTAATAAGGTATTTGACAAGTGATATTATCATGTAGGGGAGGTAATAAGGTATTTGACAAGTGATATTATCATGTAGGGGAGGTAATAAGGTATTTGACAAGTGATGCTATCATGTAGGGGAGGTAATAAGGTATTTGACAAGTGATGGTATCATGTAGGGGAGGTAATAAGGTATTTGACAAGTGATATTATCATGTAGGGGAGGTAATAATAATTTTAATAAGATATTAACTAGTGACATATAGAGGGAGATAATAAGGGGAGGTAATAGAGTATTTACACATTTATTTTGAATATTAAGGAACATATTACATTTTTTCCTTTAATTTTATTTGATGTTGAAAAAGCATGTCTGCTAAAGACAGGTAATGGTGTGTTGTTGTTGTTTTTTTTTGGTTCAGCATGTCTCTTAGTTTTGGATTAAGTCACCATTCAATTTTTCCAATTTCAAAGCATGATTTATATTTCAAAGTTTCTTACATGTTTAATTTTATATTGAATAAGCTAATCAGTTTATGTTCTTTAATGTCAGAATTAAGTCAATAGTGAAAGGCAAAACAAACCATTACACAAATATATCAAATCTATACGATATCATAGTGGTAATGTAGTTGATCACTTAAAAACATTACAACTCATAATTGATCTTATCCAATCATTATTAGAGCCAAAGTTTAAATAATGTGACAAAGAGAATACAGTTTGTCAAATATCTTGTACTTTTGCGAGGGTGACGAAAGAGACAATGGACAAACCATTTTTGTCTTTCTCTTTCAAACCTGCATGCAGCTTATGTTTTAAGCAAATTTCCATGTATTCTATTTATCCTTCAACACTGATTGAAAATTCAGACAATTAAATTTTAATTTTTAAGTTCGCTTTTACATGATATATAATGATAATAATTGCTCAGCAATGAAACAGGGTTCCAAACTTTTGTTTTTCTGTCCCAAGCCAAAATACAGCTTATATTTTCAGCTAACTATATACTCTATTTATCCTGCAGCATTGATTGCAAATTCTGACTATCAAAACTTTTAGAGTTTGTTATGAATTTGCATTTACCGGATCTTGATGCTAAGTTATACCAGAGGATTTGTGCTCTAAGTATTGCTCAGTGCAGAAATGTAGTTTTTAACTTCAATAGATACAATAACAATTTCATGAGTTTTTGTGAATATACTCCTGCTAAAGTACAGCTGTTTTCTTTCTGTGAAGGTCTATTCCAACAATGTCAGCACCAGCTGCAGGATAAATTGTATGGGACTTCAATTGTTTATGAACTTTTATTGCTTAACAGATTTTACGACTCTGTTGTGTTGGTTGTTTTTAAACACAGATATTTGAGTCTATTATGTTAAGAAACTGTATGATATGATTGTTCTTACAGTCTATGACATCAGATGATGGAGAAATTTACAACGAGGCTGATGTGGGTGATGATGTGGGTGAAGTTTATGTGGACTGCGAACCTGAGGTAATGTCAAAAGGTTATTTATATGGGTATAGACTAGGTTAAACAAAAGGTCAAACTAAGGTCAACAAATCATTCACAGGATCACACACTAGGTCAAACTAAGGTCAGCAAGTCATTCAAAAGATCACACACTAGGTCAAACTAAGGTCAGCAAGTCATTCAAAAGATCACACACTAGGTCAAACTAAGGTCAGCAAGTCATTCAAAAGATCACACACTAGGTCAAACTAAGGTCAACAAGTCATTCACAGGGTTAAGATTTCTGGATCAAAAAGTTATACATGTAAAATACGTTCATACTCAAAGTCATACTCAAGTTATAGGGTTTACCAGTTAAAAGGTCATACTCCAATCTCATCGCACACTGGATTATACTCAAGATTGCAGATCAGGTCAGATATATTAGGTCAATCAAAAATGCTAGGTGAAGGATATGATTTCTTAGTCATTCTGGTCAGATTATTCATATGTATCACATGATTTAAACAAGCAAAGCTTTGAATATGTTGTCCATGCATTGACCTCTTTGATTTTGTGGTCCCTATATCACATCTACAGTAAGTGATGTGTTAACTTTAGGGTATCTCTTTGTATATTTATCTCCACTGTTTCATTTATACAAACATAATTGATGTGATTATTATGTGACAATTATTTCAGTCTGATCAGGATGAATATGATCAATTTGAGTACCAGGAGGATTCAGAAGAAGAGGTGGAGATTTTTTTTCTGTCATAATTCTCCTACCTTGTTAATTTTTAGCTCACCTAGCCTGAAGGGTCAAGTGACCTAATGCTTTGTTGCAGCAACTGTCTGTTCTTGAGGTGTCCATCTAACATTAACTTTTCTCTTTAAACAAATTGATCAATGACAAAAGGCCTACAATGATTATATTTGACTGGAAGGTTCCTGGGTTTCCTACAAATTTGGTAAAGAGAAATGACCTTGACCTATGATCAAGGTTACAGGGGTCAAATTTGTTAAAACCTTCAAAAGACTTCTCCCAATTTAGGAAAAAGCCAAGAACCATGATATTTGGAAAAAAGGTTCATGGATGAAGCCTGACAATGTTTTCAAAATCAAATGACTCTGAACCATAGCAAAGGTCATGAGATCAAGTTTGTTAAAACATTCTAAAAATATCTTCTAAAAAAGGAAAAGGCCTAGAATCATGATAGTTGCCAGAAGGTTTGCTTGAAGAAACCTGATAACATTTGCGAAAAAGAAATGACTTTGGCTCATAAATCAATGTCACAGTGATCAATTTGTTCAAACCTTTAAAACAGTTTCTTTTCAATTTGACCTGGAGATTCCTGGGATGAAATTTGACAAATTTTTTTTGAAATGAAATAACTTAAATTGAAGGTCACAGGGGTCAAATTTGTTAAAACTTTTAAATGATTGTAATCAAAAGGTCTAAAATCATGATGTTTTGCTGGTAGAATCATGAATTTTTGCGATGAGCTTCCTGAAAGTCCATCAAATTTTGCGAAAAGAAATGACCCTTATTCAAGGTCACAAGAATCAAATAAACTTTCAAATAACTTCTTCTCATTAACCAAATGTTTTTGTATGTAAGCAAAACATTGAATAATACCAGGTGAGGGTTACAGGCCATTGGGCCTCTTTTTCTGTACTTATACTTGGTTTGCTGTGCAACAGAAACTTAAAATATGTTTGTGGAACTTTCTCACTTCACTGCTGCATCTTACTGACTGTCTTCTTGAAGTGTACAAATCAACCTGTCTGTATTGCAATTACTGATATTTTTCTCTATGGACAGAACGGCATGTTTCTTTAATTTATCACTATATATCATTTATTGGTAAAGTTGTTTTGCAGTATAATTATAATATAAGTCATTTTGTCCCTATCAAGTGTTTCCTTTCTACTGAATCTATAACACTGGGAATACCAAAGTCGAAGTGAGGATGGGTCTACTGAGAAAATGCTGCTCAATAAATACTGGTTATGAGAATTTGAAAAAAATGTTTTTAGCATACAGAAGGCAGTTGGAACTGTTGGAAGATTTAAGGAAAAAGGTTTAAAGGTTTATTTAAAGGCCACCTGTGTATAAAGCCAACTTCTGTCTCTACCACTGGGCCACCTTTATGGACAGGATTGACTGTACAAGTATACGCGAGATAAACAAATTGATACATATGAACATCGAGGAAGAAAAAAACTATTGTAATAATGAGACATTCCCTACCACTTAAAGGTTCAGCATTTCTGGTGTTTTATTACTTCATCATTACATGATATCTAATATAAGTGTAGATTCTACATCTGTCATCAGACTTCATGTGTAGGACTTCAAGGTCATTTAAGTGCACAAAATGAGGTCAAAATTCCAAATAATTTATTTCAGCACTAGGTCTTTAAAAGTTATACAGTAACATCGAAATCATATAACAGTTCCAGTATTGAATTTTCTCTTGTTTTTCATCCATTCTTTATCTAAGAGTGTTCAATGCCTTGTCTAAATAAATGGCCAGTATTTGTAGCAACAACTATGTGCTGTGAAGTAGTTTTTTCAAAATTTTGCTACAGTGCCTAAGTCATAGATTAGATAAAAGTTGAAACTTGTGTTGGTTTTTTCTCAAAAGCAAAAGTGTTGCTTGTGCAAAATGATATCTTGTTTGAAGGAATTTTATTTTCTGCATTGTTTCTTTTTATAAAGTGTTTCTTCCTCTGCTGATAGTTAATGCATTTGGAATTTTCAGATATTTAAAGTTTTTTAGGTGAAATTTTTTTTTCAGAAACAGTTTAAAGTTTTACCCCTAAAAATAATATGATCTGTGGACAATTGATATTATGGGTTAATTTCTACAAAGAAAATTATTGGAATTGGCTTCACGCTAATGAATATGCATATATCTGTGTACCTATGAAAAATAAAAATTAAATAGACACAATTTTAGATTTCAGAATAAAATTTTCTGTATCAAAAATGAAATTTTAATCTATTTTAACGGCATTGTAAAACCAGGATTCAAAACTTACATGAGTCATGTATACAGGGATCACTCTTGCTTTTTAGGTCACCTGAGACAAAATCTAAGGGCGACCTATTGCGATCCCCTTTTGTGCGGTGTCATGCGTTGTAAACTTTTAACATTTTCAACTTCTTCTGGAAAACTCCTTAACATTTTCCATTGGGGAGGGGATAAAATTTACTATAGTTTATACAGGAAAATTACACTTTTGATTATAATTTGTTTATTTTCTTTCAATAATAGTTATAAGAATTATTAGTATGACCTGACAATTTGATGAGATGTACATATTGACCTCGGCTAACTTGTCCATGAATTTAATTCTTTCATCTGAGCTTTTTTTCTCAAGTCAGCTGGTCTGTTTTTGTCACTTACAAAATACCTGCTATTCAACCACTGATCAAAATATTTAAGTTATTCAAAAAACAACTGATGCTACCATCAATAAATCTAGACCTTAAGTTTTGTGTACTGTTTATGTCAACAGCAAGAAGAATATACAGAGTTTGATGTGGGAGCTGAAGTGCAGGAAGAAATTCAGGAGGTATCTATTCATCACACACAATGTGTACTACATATCACAGGGTACTCACCATACCACACAGTACTCATCATAGGATATCACAGGGTACTCACCATACCACACAGTACTCATCATAGGATATCACAGGGTCCTCACCATACCACACAGTACTCATCATAGGATATCACAGGGTCCTCACCATACCACACAGTACTCATCATAAGATATCACAGGGTACTCACCATACCACACAGTACTCATCATAGGATATCACAGGGTACTCAACATACCACACAGTACTCATCATAGGATATCACAGGGTACTCACCATACCACACAGTACTCATCATAGGATATCACAGGGTACTCACCATACCACACAGTACTCATCATAGGATATCACAGGGTACTCACCATACCACACAGTACTCATCATAGGATATCACAGGGTACTCACCCTACCATAGGACATATCACAGGGTACTCACCATACCACAAAGTACTCATCATAGGACATATCACAGGGTACTCACTATACCACACAGTACTCATCATAGGATATCATAGGGTACTCATCATAGGACATATCACAGGATACTCATCATAGCACACAGTACTTATCATAGGATATCACAGGATACTCATCATACCACACAGTACTCATTATAGGATATCACAGAGGACTCATCATAGGACATATCACAGAGTACTCATCATACCACACAGGATACTCATTTCAGGAATTCCTAAAGACAATCATGATAAAACATATCAAAATGTTCTGATCCTATGGAATATAACAGGTTTTGTCATATGTACCAATCACAGGTACCCATCATAGTACTCAGGTACTCATTACAGGTGTTGGACATATGTGTTCTTTATAGGTATTCATTACAATTATTCATAACAGGTACTCAGTTCAGATGCTCATCACAGGTACTCAGTTCAGATGCTCATCACAGGTACTCAGTTCAGATGCTCATCACAGGTACTCAGTTCAGATGATCATCACAGGTACTCAGTTCAGATGATCATCACAGGTATTTATTACAGGTACTCATTACAGATGCTCATCACAGGTACTCAGTTCAGATGCTCATCACAGGTATTTATTACAGGTACCCATTACAGATGCTCATCACAGGTACTCAGTTCAGATGCTCATCACAGGTACTCATTACAGATGCTCATCACAGGTACTCAGTTCAGATGATCATCACAGGTACTTATTACCGGTATTCATGACAAATGTTCATCACATTCATTACATGTATACCAGCTATAACAACTAAGACAGTAATTTAGTTCTTAACTTGTATTAATTCAAACAAAAGAAACTCAATATAGGCAACAAAGATATACATACATGTAATATAACATACATATAATACACCTAACTCTACTTGGATTGAAGACTATCTCAGCTGCTCTGATTGGTTAAAGAGTTGGCTAGCGTAGGCCTAACATAGTGCAGAATTGCTCTGCAGTGTAAAGCTCTTCAGTGACCAAAAAGGAAAGACATCAAGCAGCAATAGACTAGACCTTGTGTTGTATAATTTCATATAGTTGCAAATCTATGGAGGTAACCACAGGGAAGTTGGTACTGCCACAATGAGGGTTGTGGAACTCTGTGAAATTATATAATTAAAAATATGTCGCAACTACCTAGAATTATTGTAATCAACAAGATAAACTGGCTATTTTTTGTTGACAGAGAATATTGTAAATGTGGTTGCTGCTTGATGAATTAAAGTTCATAACATCAATCTCAAAGAGTTGTAACATCTACAGGGGTAAAAGTTACTCAGTTACATGAAGGGGAAGGCATACTGCCACAACAAGGGCTGTGGAACTCTCTGAAACTGATAAAGTTGCACAAAATTTATTAATTGGGAAATTCATTGTAAGAATGATGTCCAAAATTGTCAGGTGCGAATGGAAGTGCTAGGTGAGCAGCTGAGAATCCCCAAGTTTACAATTATTCATCACAGGTACTCAGTTCAGATGCTCATCACAGGTGCTCGTCACAGGTACTCATCTTAGGTACTTATCACAGGTACTAATCACAGACATTCATCACAGGTACTCAGTTCAGATGCTCATCACAGGTACTTGTCACAGGTACTTGTCACAGGTACTCATCACAGACATTTATCACATGTACTCAGTTCAGATGCTCATCACAGGTACTCATCATAGGTACTCATCACAGACATTCATCATATATACTATGTTCAGATGCTCATCAATGCTACTTGTCACAGGTACTCATCTTAGGTACTTATCACAGGTACTAATCACAGACATTCATTACAGGTACTCAGTTCAGATGCTCATCACAGGTTCTTGTCACAGGTACTCATCACAGACATTTATCACATATACTCAGTTCAGATGCTCATCACAGGTACTCATCACAGGTACTCATCACAGACATTCATCACAGGTACTCAGTTCAGATGCTCATTACAGGTACTTGTCACAGGTACTCATCTTAGGTACTTATCACAGGTACTAATCACAGACATTCATCACAGGTACTCAGTTCAGATGCTCATCACAGGTACTTGTCACAGGTACTTGTCACAGGTACTCATCACAGACATTTATCACATGTACTCAGTTCAGATGCTCATCACAGGTACTCATCACAGGTACTCATCACAGACATTCATCATATGTACTCAGTTCAGATGCTAATCAATGCTACTTGTCACAGGTACTCATCTTAGGTACTTATCACAGGTACTAATCACAGACATTCATTACAGGTACTCAGTTCAGATGCTCATCACAGGTACTTGTCACAGGTACTCATCACAGACATTTATCACATGTACTCAGTTCAGATGCTCATCACAGGTACTCATCACAGGTACTCATCACAGACATTCATCACAGGTACTCAGTTCAGATGCTCATTACAGGTACTTGTCACAGGTACTCATCTTAGGTACTTATCACAGGTACTCATCACGGACATTCATCACAGGTACTCAGTTCAGATGCTCATTACAGGTACTTATCACAGGTACTCATCTTAGGTACTTATCACAAGTACTCATCACAGACATTCATCACAGGTACTCAGTTCAGATGCTCATTACAGGTACTCATCATTGGTTACCCTAACAGGTGCTTTGTTACAGGATTATCTTCAGTTTGGATTCACATCAAACTGTTACTGCTGCTCTATAAATTTAAAAGCAGGAAGATTGCCTCCCTTTATCAAAATTCTGACACAAATACTGATTTGATTTCCTCTGTAAGAAAACAATATTTGTTGCATTACTTTCTGCATGCATGTTGTTTCGTTTTCGCTAGAGATGTACCTATATGTAAAGGACCATTTATTTGTTAGTTTACATACATCATATATATCTATATACCATATATAATGAATACTCTGTATTGTGTTATACTCAGATTTGTGACAGATGTATGAATGTCATCTTGTATATACTGTGTACTCTATATAATATATTTATTCCCGTGTAGACCTATGACGAATTTGAAATCCAGGCGGAGGAGCAGGAGACCTATGAGGTAAATACATACCTTATAATTGGTTTATCTAGTTAAATAAGTTCTTGAATTATCCAATTTTTTATTGAGGTTGAAAGGTCAGATTTGTGTTTTTAGCTGTGATGTATTTACAACAACTTCGATTAAGTCAAGATCAAATTAGGAAATGTGGTGGTCAGTATTCCTGTAACTATCATCTGTTTGTAATTATGTCATTAGGCTACTTCATTCTTGCCTTTGTCACAGTTGACCTTTTGCAGTCACCTTTTGCTTGTCCTGCCTTGGCCAAAGATGAACCAAAATTGTAAATTATACTGTCCACTCCCCTAGGGGCATGAGGCCCAGGGTTAGAAATGGTCAAACTGACTGATTTTAATTTCTCAAGTCCTAGACATGGTAGAATCAAATACTGTTCTTCAATCATGAATGGAAAGGTATTGAGTTATTTTACCAACCTTCGAAATATAGTGGCTACAGAGTTTCATATTTCCCCCTGGGTAGGGGTAAAAGTTAAGTGTATGTAGGAAAATAACATTACTTAGCATAATATGATTTCAAAGTTTCATGTTGTTTACATGTGTCAATTGGTTTATACGTACTATTGGACCTCTTGTTAAGTCTAAAATTGTGGTTTAAACTTTTATTGTATTCCAACTTGGTTCACCAACCAATGAATCACACACTATTTTGGCTCTTAAGTGGAGAATGTTTCCAGATAGGGCTGACAATGACATCACTGTAAATGATAAATCTACTGTGATGATATTGTAGTGTAGGCTGGTTAGGTCATCAGACAGACCTGGTGTTGTGGATTCTGGTTAGGTCACCAGACAGACCTGGTGTTGTGGATTCTGGTTAGGTCACCAGACAGACCTGGTGTTGTGGATTCTGGTTAGGTCACCAGACAGACCTGGTGTTGTGGATTCTGGTTAGGTCACCAGACAGACCTGGTGTTGTGGATTCTGGTTAGGTCACCAGACAGACCTGGTGTTGTGGATTCTGGTTAGGTCACCAGACAGACCTGGTGTTGTGGATTCTGGTTAGTTCACCAGACAGACCTGGTGTTGTGGATTCTGGTTAGGTCACCAGACAGACCTGGTGTTGTGGATTCTGGTTAGGTCACCAGACAGACCTGGTGTTGTGGATTCTGGTTAGGTCATCAGACAGACCTGGTGTTGTGGATTCTGGTTAGGTCATCAGACAGACCTGGTGTTATTGATGGTGCATTCTAGTCTGCATGTGGTTTGAGATGTATCTTTTTACAGCTAAATTTTAGACACTTTGAGATCACCTGAAACCTCATAATTTATTTACAATAAAACCTATTAACACACATCTACCTGGGCAAAAAGAATCAAACATAATTTGAAATTATTTTGTGAGGTAGTTGACACTGATATTTTACAAAATAAATGAATATAAGATCATCAAATTAAAAGAAAATATCTCATAGATATTTAATCTGTGATGATTCTGAACTATTTGATTAACATATTACCTAGCCTTTTGGTTGCTGTAAAGATAACGGTAGACCTGATTAGTCACCTTCTGTTCTCCATCCTTTCCAAGTTTCATACAAACTTAAATGTTTGACAAGGTTTTTTATTCTACCACCTGACTTAAATTGTTAAGGGTTTTCATTCTTCTATGGGAAAATGTTGGTTTTATTAGGATGATCACATGATTGAAAGGGCAAACAATTTCTGACAGTGATTTAAAACCAAATGTGTGTTTTAGTTTCATTTTCAGCATTACATTATTGCACTCAGTTTTTTAGAGCTGGTTTGATAACTGAAAAACCTTTCAGTGTAAGAAAGCATATGATGACAGTCAATAAGGGATTTTCATTGAAAAAATAAATCAAAATTTTAACAAAACAATTCTTGACTGGTCTAAAGCTATCTTTGTATGGTGTTGCACATTGAAATGGTAGCAATCTCTGTAATCATGGACGAGATATTATCAAGATTGTTAAAGAAATATTTGCTTAAATATATTAAGTGGGATCAGCAGACCACCTTATCATGAACAGAGTGATGTATACATTTTGTCATGTAGTGTGTGCTAATAAAGGCTAGTAATTATTACAAGATTAACAACAGCTCTGTAATGATTTTGCACCATTTGAGCCAATACAGGATGATCACATCATCTGATCCAGCCCCACTGTATTTAGTTTGGTTCTTGTTGAATTTTTTGTCTGGTCCAATAAATGTTGCCATGTTGTTCAACCAAAATGTTTTTACTCATAGATTTCACTGTTTTTTGGTGTATAAAGTGTCTATGTCCTTCAGGTTAATGTTAAATGACCTTCAAGTTTTGTGCAATGACATGCAACTTCTCAGTGACAGGTCTGCTAACATATGGCTTTTCTGAGTGACATAGATCAAATCCACAGAAAATTGTAATTTTTCTGTGATAGAAGGAATGAAGATGAAATATGAACTTTTTTCACACCAGATATCAGATGATGTCCCAGATGAAGTTTATCAAGATTTGGATGGGGCTGAAGATATCGCAAACCCTCCTCCTCCTCCCCCCTCAAGACCTATCCCCCAACTTCCCAAAACTGCATCTCCCGCACCCCCACCCCCACCTCCTCCACAAAGTAAGGTAAGACCTAAAAATCACCTATTTTATCTCCATCAAATTATAAGGTAGTTCATGTCTACAGGTGAATGCCTTGTCCTTGAAATATGACTTTTTAAGTTTAAAAAGGTAGATATTTCACTTTGATCCTGTAGGATGTGTCTGATGAGAGACTTATGACAAATTTAAATGTTGATGTGACATTAGTGGAAAACGGGTTAAAAGCATAGATTTACCAGGGTAAGAGAAGTAATTATCATTAATAAGTATATCAGTATATACATTTATATGTATATCAGTATAAGTATATCGGTATATACATTTATAAGTATATTTCTTCATTTTTTTATGTAGATTTAGTTTGCCTAAAATATGCATGTTGTTATATCATGAAACGTCTAAAATTTGGCATGAAGTCAAGTAGTTGGTTTTATTTCTCTAAAACTACTTTGCTATATAAGGCTTCAATCATAAAGTGGAAAAGTATATAACTATTAAATTATATTATGAAAGACATTATGTGTCCTTTTGTGCAAATTTACTCAAAGAAAAATGAAAGACTTGATGAAGCACACTTTTGTCATAAGAACTTGACAAACTACCATTAGAGTGACCTGGTTCATACGCATGTGTTTCTGTACTTAACTGTAGCCTAGTAAATAGCATCAATTACTATGCTTGTAGTGGAGAGTTAGTTAGTGCTTGTATGTTTGGCAATGTTTATCAAGGGGAGGTAACTACTAATAACAACATATGATTTGGTTTACAGAGAGCCCCAATAGAGAAGAAGGCAGGTAAGTGTGAGATTTTAGTTGTACAGAACTAATCATATTGCAATTGAAATAGGAAAAATAATGCACTGACATCAAATTATTATTTGTCTTACAACATACTTAAGGTCACAGGTATTGAATTACAATACAACTCTTTTTAAAACTATCCAATAAATTAGTAACATTATCATGAGTGGAGTTGTTTCCCCTTAGCACTTCCCAAAGCTCCAGTTCCGAAAAAAGCAAGTGGCCTTGATCTCAGTGAAGTTTTGAAGAAACGTGGAAATCTGAGGAAAGTTGAATCAGCAGACGAACGACCAATCAGCTCCAATGATGTTAAGGAGTATACCACTGGCAATGACATTCGCTCGACATTTGAAATGTTTAAACAAAAGGAGGAGGCAGGTCAGTAAGATTTATCTGATTTGGATGTCAAGAACCACGCTATCATGATTGAAGGTCAATGAGTTTATTTACAGGTCAATTCAGTAGTTAGGAGGAGGTAAAATTGAGTGAGGATGAATTAATTTGGTGGGATGATCTAGTTGAGATGAGATAACCGGATTATGCTGTAGATATTTGATGATAACTGGATTAACCACTGTGGAAATTTGATGATAACTGGGTTAACTAACTATTGTGGAAAATTGATGATAACTGGGTTAACCACTGTGGAAATTTGATGATAACTGGGTTAACTAACTATTGTGGAAAATTGATGATAACTGGGTTAACCACTGTGGAAATTTGATGATAACTGGGTTAACTAACTATTGTGGAAAATTGATGATAACTGGGTTAACCACTGTAGAAATTTGATGATAATTTGGTTAACCACTGTGGAAAATTGATAACTGGGTTAACTACTGAGTAAATTTGATGATAACTTTTTTAACCATTGTGGAAATTGATAACTGGGTTAACCACTGTGGAAATTGATGATAACTGGGTTAACCACTGTGGAAAATTAATCGTAACTGGGTTAACCACTGTGGATATTTGAAGGTTAGTGGGTTAACTTCTGTGGAAATATTGTGATTAGAAGGTTAACAGTTTGGATATGTAAAGGATAGTAAGCAGTGGATATTTGACAGTTAGTAAGTTAACTTTATACTGAGCGTAAGTAAAGAAACTATGCTACAGACTTGATGCTGTAAATGTAGACTGTTTGTTATGCTGATATTTTACTGACAGATGGACAGAGATTGGTACAGTTATCTGTGTTTGTATTTCAGATGACTCCAGCCCACAAATTTCTGTCTCTAACAATATCCGTGATAGGATGAAAATGTTACAGACTAATTTATCTCCTCCCTCACAGCCAGTGAGAGTTACCCCGTCTTTACCAATAAAACCTTTGAATATTCCAAGCCAACCTATGATGCCCCCTAGACCAGGCCCTCCCCCTCCTAAAACAGATCGTCCAGAAATACCCAATAGATTTGGCCGTTCACCATCACCAGGGGTTCACAACATCCAGTCACACACAAGATTGGTCAGTAATATGTTTTGTTTTTGCATGTGTCCAAGCCTTTCCATGTCCTCCATGTGTAATATTGCAGTTACATGGCAATAAAGGTCTGTACTTTCCTTGCATGGCCTCCATTCCCTCCCTCTATAATTCTCACCTCCACATACTGCATGTCATTAAAAACACCCCACTGCTCATCTTCCCCTGTTGATGTTAAGTAATGTGTCTCCTTATGGACTTACTGCACACATTATAATCTCATAATCCCCCTCAGTAATACATCACCCTCAGGTAAATACTGTACACCTGTATAGCTCCCTCTGTTGGTATTCACTCCAAATAATGCCTGTCAGTAAAACATCACCCCCAGGCAAGTACTGTACACCTGTATAGCTCCCTCTGTTGGTATTCACTCCAAATAATGCCTGTCAGTAAAACATCACCCCCAGGCAAGTACTGTACACCTGTTTAGCTCCCTCTGTTGGTGGTCACTCCATATAATGCCTGTCAGTAAAACATCACCCCCAGGCAAGTACTGTACACCTGTTTAGCTCCCTCTGTTGGTGGTCACTCCATATAATGCCTGTCAGTAAAACATCACCCCCAGGCAAGTACTGTACACCTGTTTAGCTCCCTCTGTTGGTATTCACTCCATATAATGCCTGTCAGTAAAACATCACCCCCAGGTAAATACTGTACACCTGTTTAGCTCCCTCTGTTGGTATTCACTCTATATAATGCCTGTCAGCAAAACATCACCCCTAGGGAAGTACTGTACACCTGTTAAGCTCCTTTTTATTTTGTTTTTTGCTATTTGGTGTTCGAGTTTTATATGTCAGCCTTTGCTATTATGTTGAAGGGAGTCATGATTTGATACTGTCTTCTGATAACTGTGTGTTAAACTCTGCATTATAAGAGTTCAAGTTGTTTTGAAGTTGATACTGAAACAACCATAAACAGATATATGTTATATAATTTACAAAGTCTTTTACCTGTGTGTGATGTACAGTGATCAATCTCAAATCGAGATTTTCAAAACTAGCGTATGTCTTTTGTTATGCATTTCCTTAGAAATTTAATCTGAATGAAACAGCTTAATGGACATACATCATACAGGATTAAATATAATTCTCTCACACATTCCTAATCGGTGCAAATACAAAAACATCCGATAGCTGTCTTTAATATTTAGTTAAAGACATAACTGGCACTCATGTTTTTACTCAGTAAAAACACAAAAGCACTTTCCAAAATGTCGGTATTCATTCTATACAATGCCTGTCAGTGATTCATTACCCCCAGGAAAGTTCTATACATGTTACATTAGGAAAACATCAAGCAAAGCATTAGACAAAATCCTTCTTAATTGTTAATGTTGTTTAGTGTTGTACTTCCTGCTTGTATCTATATATGTATATCTACTCTATTGCATGCTTCTGACTGTGCCTGATTAACAAATAGCTGGCTTGGTAAGTCCTTCCAAATCCAATGCTACACCAAAGTTTCTGAAAAGTCCAAGCATGGAAAGTCCCAAGTCACCTGGCTTTCGTGGAGCATTGCCTCCTACTCCTGTTGACAAACCAGCACTACCTGCTAAACCTGATGACTTCCTCCCTCCCCCTCCACCACCGAAGAGATCGGATGATCTGGTAAGGGAGATCATCTATATGAATATTCTTATAAATTGCACTTCATAATGCAAAATTCAAGACATTTCGAGATATTGTACTGAACAGGACATAAGATTATGTATAAGATAATGTATTTGATAAGCTGTAGATACCTGTAAAAGATGTAAGATAATATATTACACAGGACATCAGATATTGTATTTGATAAGCTGTAGATACCTGTAAAAGATGTAAGATAATATATTACACAGGACATCAGATAATGTATAGGATACAGCTGTAGATACCTGTAAAAGATGTAAGATAATATATTACACAGGACATCAGATAATGTATAGGATACAGCTGTAGACACCTGTAAAAGATGTAAGATAATATACACAGGATATCAGATAATGTATAGGATACAGCTGTAGACACCTGTAAAAGATGTAAGATAATATACACAGGATATCAGATAATGTATAGGATACAGCTGTAGACACCTGTAAAAGATGTAAGATAATATACACAGGATATCAGATAATGTATAGGATACAGCTGTAGACACCTGTAAAAGATGTAAGATAATATATTACACAGGACATCAGATAATGTATAGGATACAGCTGTAGATACCTGTAAAAGATGTAAGATAATATATTACACAGGACATCAGATAATGTATAGGATACAGCTGTAGATACCTGTAAAAGATGTAAGATAATATATTACACAGGACATCAGATAATGTATAGGATACAGCTGTAGATACTTGTAAAAGATGTAAGATAATATATTACAAAGGACATCAGATAATGTATTTGATAAGCTGTAGATACCTGTAAAAGATGTAAGATAATATATTACACAGGACATCAGATATTGTATTTGATAAGCTGTAGATACCTGTAAAAGATGTAAGATAATATATTACACAGGACATCAGATAATGTATAGGATACAGCTGTAGATACCTGTAAAAGATGTAAGATAATATACACAGGATATCAGATAATGTATAGGATACAGCTGTAGATACCTGTAAAAGATGTAAGATAATATACACAGGATATCAGATAATGTATAGGATACAGCTCAGATAATGTATAGGATACAGCTGTAAAAGATGTAAGATAATATACACAGGATATCAGATAATGTAAGATAATATATTACACAGGATAGGATAAGCTGTAGATACCTGTAAAAGATGTAAGATAATATATTACACAGGACATCAGATAATGTATAGGATACAGCTGTAGATACCTGTAAAAGATGTAAGATAATATATTACACAGGACATCAGATAATGTATAGGATACAGCTGTAGATACCTGTAAAAGATGTAAGATAATATACATCAGATGTATCCTGAATACTTATCAGTCTTTTTCATATGTACATATATATGTATATGTCAGAAGTTTTGTTCCTTTTATCAAAATCTGTTTCATTTATTTCATTATACTTAGTGATGTATTTTAGATATGGAGATGTATTCTGTGATAATAGTGATGTATTATATGGAGATGTATTCTGTGATAATAGTGATGTATTATATGGAGATGTATTCTGTGATAATAGTGATGTATTATATGGAGATGTATTCTGTGATAAATACAACAAATACCACCCAATTTTTGAGAGATAGTAATAATGTTTTTAACTAGAAATAAAAATATCTTATTTCAGATATGAGTTTAAGAAAGTGAAATTTAAATTTATAAAGACTAGGATGTTGTTATTCACATGTATATCCCTAAAAGTCAGTGTCATTAAGATAATATATACACTATGTTTTAAATCATGACAGGATTCACCAGAACTTCCTCCTCCACCTAAACTGGAGGACTTTCAGCCCCCTCCTCCACCAAAAACAAAGGATTCTTACACAAAAGTAGACCCAGGTACAAAACCCACTGGAGATTCCGGTAAAAATGCCCCCTTGGTTCCTAACGGCAACCAGAATGACTGGCCTGATGAATATGATGATGATGATGACGGTGAAATTTATGATGACGTGGCTGCAGCAATAGTAAGTAACATTCCTTATGATAGATATTGTTGCACGAGTAAAAAGAACAACAGAAAAATATTCATCTCATCTGATGAGTGATCCAGAGTTTCCAGTTTAAATTATTAATGACAAATGGACTATGAGGGCCATAGTTTTGTGTCAAATAAAATAAAAATGTCACTCTGACATTAGATGCCTTAAACTAAACAATATTTCTTATATCAAAAATATTTAATCAACATCTTTGAGTAATGTTAAAAAATTACTCTCTTATTTATAACTTTCTCTTATCATTTCCATTTTGATGTCCAAAAATGTTGTGGTCAGGTTTGCATACTTAGAAAAATCTTACCTGTAGTGGACTAAATAGACCAACTTTTTCTTTTATTTATATTTATGTACATTTTACTTATAACTATTGTTACATTTGACTTAAGGTCAAATACATGTATAGAAGACTAGAAGAAGCTGGCTATTGTGTACAGTAAAACACGTTGATGATGAGTCTCTGGGGACCAAGAAGATCTGTTTGCTATATCCTATACTTTGTAATACACTTATGACAAATTGAGGAAAAAGATATTGCATGATTTGTTATAAGACAATAACGAAATAACAATAGGACAAACAATAGACTAAATTTTATTTGTTTAATTTCATGCTACAGCTTGCAAACTGCCTGTGTTAAATCTGAGTCTCAGACACAAGAAAAAATTCATGAAAATTTTACTCTAACGTATTCTGGCTATGATTTTACAGGCAGATCCTCTGGGTTGCTATGCTTGGTACCATGGTAACATCGAGAGAGATAATGGAAATAAAATGCTCAAGAAAATCAGTAAGGTAAGTTTGACGAGAATGGATGTTATGTAAAGTCAACATGAAAAGGGAGGGAGCTGAATAGAATGATACTTACTAAATATGGTAGGTTTGTAATTGAAGAACAAAAATACCAGATGTTTATATAACTTGAGTTTTGTTACTGACATGCATTTTTTTTCAATCATAAATTTGATTTAGTTGTTCTGAGTTCTAGAGGTCAAGTTTGTCCATCAGTTATAAAATCATGTGAAGCCTTCTTAGTTCCATCTGTGATAAAGTATGTCTGTTGATTGGTCAGGATGGTTGTTTCCTGTTGAGAAAGAGTAGCGACGAAAAGAAAGCCAAGATCCAGCCATATACCTTGATGGTCTACTACAGCGGCTACAACTACAACCTCAAAGTACGCTTTCGGTCGGACCAAAAGTATGCCCTGGGCGAGGAAAAAGCAGATGAAGTGGTAGGTTGTGAAATTTAAACAAATCAAGATCTTATATAGATAGTAAACTGGGTAATATGTAGAGATTTACAGACAAGTTTATCAGTTCTGTGTTGAGATTTACAGACAAGTTTATCTTACTGGTGTACATTGTTACAGGTGTACATTGTTTAGGGTGTACATTGTTACAGGTGTACATTGTTTAGGGTGTACATTGTTACAGTGTACATTGTTACTGGTGTACATTGTTACAGGTGTACATTGTTACTGGTGTACATTGTTACTGGTGTACATTGTTTAGGGTGTACATTGTTACAGTGTACATTGTTACTGGTGTACATTGTTATGGGTGTACATTGTTACAGGTGTACATTGTTACTGGTGTACATTGTTATGGGTGTACATTGTTACAGGTGTACATTGTTACTGGTGTACATTGTTATGGGTGTACATTGTTACAGGTGTACATTGTTACTAGGTGTACATTGTTACAGGTGTACATTGTTACTGGTGTGTACATTGTTACAGGTGTACATTGTTACAGTTACTGGTACATTGTTACAGGTGTACATTGTTACAGGTGTACATTGTTACAAATGTACATTGTGTGTACATTGTTACAGGTGTACATTGTTACAGGTGTACATTGTTACAGGGGTGTACATTGTTACAGGTGTACATTGTTACAGGTGTACATTGTTACATTGTTACAGTGTACATTGTTACAGGTGTACATTGTTACAGGGTGTACATTGTTACAGGTGTACATTGTTACAGGTGTACATTGTTACAGGTGTACATTGTTACAGGTGTACATTGTTACAGGTGTACATTGTTACAGTTACAGGTGTACATTGTTACTGTGTACATTGTTACAGTTACTGTGTACATTGTTACATTGGTGTACATTGTTACGGGTGTACATTGTTACAGTGTACATTGTGTACATTGTTACAGTTGCAGGTGTACATTGTACATTGTTACTGGTGTACATTGTTGCAGGTGTACATTGTTATAGTGTACATTGTTACAGGTGTACATTGTTACTGGTGTACATTGTTACAGGTGTACATTGTTACTGGTGTACATTGTTACTGGTGTACATTGTTACAGGTGTACATTGTTACAGGTGTACATTGTTACTGGTGTACATTGTTACAGGTGTACATTGTTACAGGTGTACATTGTTACAGGTGTACATTGTTACTGGTGTACATTGTTACAGGTGTACATTGTTACAGGTGTACATTGTTACTGGTGTACATTGTTACAGGTGTACATTGTTACTGGTGTACATTGTTACAGGTGTACATTGTTACAGGTGTACATTGTTACAGGTGTACATTGTTACTGGGTGTACATTGTTACAGTGTACATTGTTACACATTGTTACAGGTGTACATTGTTACAGGTGTACATTGTTACAGGTGTACATTGTTACAGGTGTACATTGTTACTGGTGTACATTGTTACAGTGTACATTGTTACAGGTGTACATTGTTACAGGTGTACATTGTTACAGGTGTACATTGTTACAGGTGTACATTGTTACTGGTGTACATTGTTACAGGTGTACATTGTTACAGGTGTACATTGTTACAGTGTACATTGTTACAGGTGTACATTGTTACAGGTGTACATTGTTACAGGTGTACATTGTTACTGGTGTACATTGTTACAGGTGTACATTGTTATAGTGTACATTGTTACAGGTGTACATTGTTACTGGTGTACATTGTTACAGGTGTACATTGTTACAGGTGTACATTGTTACAGGTGTACATTGTTACAGTGTACATTGTTACAGTGTACATTGTTACAGGTGTACATTGTTACTGGTGTACATTGTTACAGTGTACATTGTTACAGGTGTACATTGTTACTGGTGTACATTGTTACAGGTGTACATTGTTACTGGTGTACATTGTTACAGGTGTACATTGTTACAGGTGTACATTGTTACTGGTGTACATTGTTATAGTGTACATTGTTACTGGTGTGCCTTGTTACAGGTGTACATTGTTACTGGTGTACATTGTTACAGGTGTACATTGTTACAGGTGTACATTGTTACAGGTGTACATTGTTACTGGTGTACATTGTTACAGGTGTACATTGTTACTGGTGTACATTGTTACAGGTGTACATTGTTACTGGTGTACATTGTTACAGGTGTACATTGTTACTGGTGTACATTGTTACTGGTGTACATTGTTACAGGTGTACATTGTTACTGGTGTACATTGTTACAGGTGTACATTGTTACTGGTGTACATTGTTATAGTGTACATTGTTACTAGTGTACATTGTTACAGGTGTACATTGTTACAGGTGTACATTGTTACTGGTGTACATTGTTACAGGTGTACATTGTTACAGGTGTACATTGTTATAGTGTACATTGTTACTGGTGTACATTGTTACTGGTGTACATTGTTACAGGTGTACATTGTTACTGGTGTACATTGTTACAGGTGTACATTGTTATAGTGTACATTGTTACTGGTGTACATTGTTACTCGTGTACATTGTTACGGATGTACATTGTTACTCGTGTACATTGTAACCCCCCAAAAAAACCTTCAGCAGTAATAACTGATGAAATATTTCCTTTTTTTCCAGACATTTGAAACAGTTCCAGAGCTGATCAGTCACCACCAGAGTAATGAGGTTATTTTAGTGCACAAGTCAGGCAAACAGTACAGCACTCTCCTCACTGTGTCACCTTCCTGATACTGAGATTGGGTTCATGAGATTTTTTTTTATTACAAATATGTACATAGACTATACATAAAACACAATGCTCTCAGTTACAACATTTGATTTGGTTCATTTGACCTTCAGTTCTGTCCTTGAGAGAGAACATAATTTCACAAAACAAATAACTTGTGCATTATATATATTCAGACACATTTTAGTATGAAAGTTACAGTGTCCCATACAAATTGTCATTGTAGGAAAGTGTCAAATTTTAACTGAAAAGTACATCGATAAATTGAAGTAATTAGAATTTGTGTTAAAGAAAGCTAAAGGATCTACAATATTAATGGATGCAGTCATCATGCACTTAACCTTATGCTTTAAGTTCCAGGTGCACTCTGATTTATGTTAATACTACAGAATTACTGTGTTTGTGTTCATATATATTTGTATGTGCTTTTTAGTAGAGATTGTTGATAGTGTACGAATGCCTATGTATATAGAGCTGTCATAGTTGTCAATTGTATTATTTGCCACATTAAGTGGCAACCTCATAAGCATAATACATTTATGTATCATATCATACTGAATTGTTTATACTTATTTTAGAGATATATATTTACACATGCCATGTAGATTAATTAAGCATTCCTTTATACAATGTATAACCAAATGAGTAGATTTGATATGAGAAATTTATCTATGCAACAAGTTAAGCGATAATATTACAGTGCTTTCTATATCCACATATAAAGCTTATTGTATCCATATAGTATAGAGATAGGGGCTACAGGAAAAATCAATTTCTTTGGTAACCTTCCTCCCAGTACAAAATTCTGTGGTTCCAAATTCTTTCTTCTGAGTAGTCTCCCTTGATAACAACTGTAGTATCCTGTAGTATTCAATAATTTCTTCTGAGTAGTCTCCCCTGATGACAACCTCACGTGGTTCTCAGTTATTTCTTCTGAGTAGTCTCCCTTGATAATAACATCTGATGGTTCTAATTCTTTCTCCTGAGTAGTCTCCCTTGATAATAACATCTGACGGTTCTAATTCTTTCTCCTGAGTAGTCTTGTGTAACCATCCTAAACAGAAAAGGGTTATACATATTTTACTATAGTAATCCCATAGCCTTTAGACAACCTTTCCACCATGCTAGACTCAAATCTAAAATGTTTTGTTGTTGTTGTTTTACATTAACAAATGTACCTTTACAACTGTTTTATATTATTTACCTATAAAGATTTGTGGGAGAACTTGTTGTGTTGCCAACTCTACAAAATCCTTTACTTTTGTGTTTTTCCACAAACGAAGTGTCAGTACTCTACAATTAACCAATGATAGCATTAGTTAAATTTGAATTCTTTATAAGACATTTCTACAATACTGGAATAAAATTAATCTAAATGGGTTCATGTTATTATGCAAATATCTTAGTTGGCTGTAGTTAATGTTCTAACACCGTGCAAAATCAACAGTATTTCTCATTCTGAATTTTTTTTTATAACTGTGTTATTTTCACAGGGTCTTATGTAGAAAACTTGATAGCATGTCTTCATATGAAATAAATGTTTGATCATGAAATTATTCTCATACTTAGATTCTATCGTTCATAAGCTGGTTTCCGATTCTGAATCTATTTTTAGAAATATAATAAGTATATTTATCAGAGTTCTACAGGACAAGGTCACTACAGGACAAGGTCACTACAGGTACGAGTACTGCCTTAGTTAACATGTTGTATACCTAGGTTCCTACTACATCTCTTTAATTATAAGATGATGAAAGCTGTCCAGTAAGCTGTTATAAAGATGTGACAACACCACAAATAAGTGGGTGTCCTTGAAGAATTATGTATCAATGCCTTAGTGCTGCAGCCTGTAACTATATATTAGATATATGATAAACTTTAGGGAACACAACCTTGTCCTTTGCACATTTCAAAATTTTCAGTTGTTCTGTGTGATGTTTAACTTAAGATACACAAAAGGTATGTATCCACATGTTTTTAATACCATGTAGACATTGTATTATTAGCAGAACTTGATTTAAGACTGGAAAAGATTCACTTGAATACTCTAATTATTTACTATCTTGTGACATGTCCATATATAGTATTAATTCAAATACATTCCATGTATACATAAAACAAAAGTATGCTTTTTGTGGAAGGGACATATATATCCAAAGATACATATACATTTTTATGAATTCAAAAGTTTCCACTTTCATATTAAGATTCAAATTCCAGTTAGTAAATAAAAGTATATTTTTACATAACAAATCAAGAAAACTCCATCATGCCTGTATAATTTCATTTCACATAAAGCAGTTTTTATTATTATATATTTAAATTGTACACAAATTTTTGTTGGTAGATTGATATTTTCATCTTATGTGAGAATATTTTGATACTAGATTAATTCCTATAAAAACCTGTTTTAGACGACATGTTTCTAACAAATAGATGTTACATAGCTGAAGTCTACAGGAGTAACATATCATCCTTCATACTCCACATCATTATGGTAATGTACTTAAGCTTAATGATATATCATTCACATGTTTGATTCTTGGTGCCATTGTGTTAACTCAAGACACTTAAAGGTGTATGCTTACCATACACTTTATACTCATAACAATTGTAAGAGTTTTCTCCCCTAAACCGTATCATTCAGTTTTTAAAAATAATTGATACTTACTCAATGTCAATACACATACTCCAGTGTATGATTCAGAAAAATTAAAAGCTTAAATTAAGAAAGTCCAAAATGGTATCAAACAAACATCTTTGTTTATGATTTAAATTTTAAGTTTAAAAATGATTCTGTTTGAAACAAAACTTTCTATTGGTGTAAAAAAATAATGTATGAAAGAACATGACAACAGCATAGTTTCTTGTTTCTGAGTTATGCCTCCATAATCTACGAACAATTAATGAAAATTTTAATCCAAAATGATCAAGTCTGCTTGGAAGGTTTTGATCATACTACAATATTTGAAATACATTTCCTACTCTATGCATGTCTGGCTTATATATCATGTAACTGCTGCCAGACATGATCTATATCTGTAGGTATGTTTGTTGTTTGTTAATACTGACAGATACCAGTCTACTGGCTGTTGAATATGTTAATGTGGATGGACTTCTATTGTACTATATAGCTTGTTTTTGAGGGATTCTTTATCTCACTGACTTCAAATTGGAATAAAACTGTGAAAAGAAAGACGCTTTCAGAAATAAAATTAATAATGAAAACTTAAGTCTGTTTCACGAGTTCTGTGAAAAAATACTCCAAATTTTGGTGAAAATGAAAATTTTATCATCACAAAAAAGAAAAAAAGTAAACCTTGAGATAAAGGATCATTCAATTTACCAACAAAGTCATATGACAAATGATGTAGGTTCTCCAGTCAGAATTTACCAACCCGACAAAGTCATGTGATGGATAATGTAGAATCACCAGTCAGAATTTACCAACCTGACAGTCATGTGATGGATAATGTAGAATCACCAGTCAGAATTTACCAACCTGACAGTCATGTGATGGATAATGTAGAATCACCAGTCAGAATTTACCAACCTGACAAAGTCATGTGATGGATAATGTAGAATCACCAGTCAGAATTTACCAACCTGACAAAGTAATGTGATGGATAATGTAGAATCACCAGTCAGAATTTACCAACCTGACAAAGTCATGTGATGGATAATGTAGAATCACCAGTCAGAATTTACCAACCTGACAAAGTCATGTGATGGATAATGTAGAATCACCAGTCAGAATTTACCAACCTGACAAAGTAATGTGATGGATAATGTAGAATCACCAGTCAGAATTTACCAACCTGACAAAGTCATGTGATGGATAATGTAGAATCACCAGTCAGAATTTACCAACCTGACAAAGTCATGTGATGGATAATGTAGGTAATGCTTATGTTAAAGTACAAAATATGTATATTTGTTACTTATATCCATACCTCATTCATTATGTTATCAAGCTTTTTACAGATATTATTAACTGTCATTGTTTTATTAATGTATTCTTCAACTTTTTGAAAATGTCTAAGATGTGGTACACTGATTTTTTTTATCAGTCATGGTCAAACGATTGTTAAAGTTAGGCGTGATCAAGTCATTTATCATGGTGATCAGTGGTCACTGAGTGACCAGCTGTTTAATCTGTAACCATGTGATAGGGAAGGGGGTTTGTACAAGCTGAATGATTGAAATAAAATCAATACAGTTATAGCGCTGTTGGCTATTAATTCACACATTGCACTGACATTATATATGACATATAAGCAGACTGACCGGGTCACTCAGACTCTGGAGTATCAGCAGACTGGCCGGATTACTCAGACTCTTGAGTATCAGACGTCAGAATTATAAGAATCAATGTCGGTGATATTCACCATTTAACCACCTACATGATGTTATAACATTTCATACAACTTTCCATTATTCATCCTCTTCATAGTTACGTCGTCCATGGGTTATTTTGGACAATGATCACTGTTTAGCAATTTGTGAACACACATCTTCAAATGTAACTACAATAATTCATAATCTGAATTTTTTTACTGACTTAATCATGGATCCTTGTGTATGATTAGGGAAATAGCACTGCACTTAATTCTACCTTTGAACATAGTTTTATGTTAAACCTGAAAATATTTATGTGAAACCTGAAAATAGTTATGTTAAACCTGAAAATATTTATGTTAAACCTGAAAATAATAACTTTTTTTCTCTTTGCATGCCCCACACACTTTACTAAGGTGGTTTGGAGAAAGAGGAAGAAGCATACTTGTGTACATTCACTATCATTTGATACAGGCATGCCTCATTTTTGTTGGATTCTGATATAAGAATGTTTCACTTTCACTGATTCACAGAAACATAAAATTGGAGACACAGTGGAATGGTAATACTCTTATGTCTATGGTTTCAATATTTTCTGTTTCACAATATTTGAAGCAACATCATTTTGGACAGAATCTATCAACTTGTAATCCCCATCGACTTTATCTTTCAGATTAAGTTATTCATTACCCAGACAGAAAGAGAATTCCATTTAATGTAAACTAGGACAAAAAATTAACAAAAGAAAAGATTCACACAAACACTCGTGAAAAAAACACACGGGGAATAAGACCATGTGTTCTGGAAGAGTAAGCGTCTTCTGCTTCATCGACGATACCCAATACGTAAACCTTGGTCAGCCCAAGTACATATTTTTGTCAGTGATGTTTCCAAATGAGAACAAGGTATACAGCAACGGAACCAGCAGGCAAACTAACGATCATCAAACATGTCCAGCTTCAAACTGCAAAATGAAATAAAATATTTTTAAATGAGGTCACTGACGGCTATGAAACCTCTCCATACATTTCATCAACCTGCATCTTTTGAAACCCTGTGTAACGAGATTGTCAATCAGTTGGCAACTTCTTGCACGAAAGAGATGATAATGGGAACAGGCCCTTCAATATCGAATCAACTATGACATGTTAACACCATGTTTGGGATGCAGGAAATTTTCTATCCAAAAATGGAAAAGTCACAATAAGGAAATTGAAAAAAAAACACTCTTATCATACAATTTGGTGAAAGTTGATGTTGAACAGTATGTTTGACTTTCAATTCTGGAGGGTAACGAGGGACGTGGTCAATGATTGTTTTGTTGTTTAAAGAACAGGCGTCATCAATTTATCTGAAATCGAAAAACTATGCAAGGTCTTTGTGACCTGTTTTGAGAAGCTCTTCGATAAATCCAGCCTCGTATGAAAACAAAAACAAGTCAGTCAACAGAGGGGCACAGTTAGTTCTCGTAGGTATGCCAATAGTCTGTTGGATGATACTACTACCATATTCGACAAACGATGTTTTCAGTCAGAAACTTGATCATTTTTATGATTTCGTCCTTCGTGTATTTCTTCTTTAATTCAGATGTATTTATAAGCTCTTATAACAAGAGATCGAATGCGTTCTTTCATTTTAGAATGGAGTATGGTAAAGTACAGAGTGAAAAATGATCTTTTAGGAGAAATGTTTTAGATGGTAAAGATAGACCAAAGGCTGTGTTGAGTTCCTTAAAATCCATTTACCATTAGTTCCATTTCTTGCGTAAACAGTATCACAATACGACTGTAACCCCGATTTCCTTTTACCATGACAGATAGTCAGAAGTTTGAACAATGGTTTTGTTGCACAGTGTTAACGTGGCACTAGCGTCGGTTGATTTTCCGCGAAAATGAAAACTGAAAGAATGGTATATATGTATACACAAAAGTCGCTCGCAAACACACACGCACACTCCTAAATAAACAAATAAGAATGTTCATGTAGCTTCACACAATCACGGCAATAATGATCCAAATAATAACCAGCATAGCTGAACGTCTGACCTTAACCCTGGCGAAAGGTGATTATTCGGGAAGGTCCTGATACCTGAACAATACTGAGAGGGAACCGCTTGCCTGGTCCTGACTAACTAGCTGAAGCTGCTAGCCCGCCATGTGAAGCTTCAGTAAGTGAAACGCAGATGGTTAAACATATCACTCACATTTCCATACTAACTTAACATCTAGCATAGCATAAATCCTGAATACTAATTCAAGTTACCTAAAATAATTAACGATAATGTAAACTATTCACTCAAATATGCTTTAAATAGGTATTGATAATGTACGGCTCCAATTAATTCACGAAATAACATAAAATTGCACAATACCTCGTGGCTTCCATACATTTTCCACTCGAGCACGTACCCATTACGTTCAACACTGTGACAATATTACAAGGCTTCCACACTTTTATAAATACGTTAAGCACACGATACAAACTATATAATTGCATATTCAACAATTAAGTATGTATTTTAGCCCATATACAGTATACATATATAGTAGTACAAACTCAATGAAATTAAAATATAGCAAAAAAAGAGATATAATTTATTTCACCTAAAAATAAAAATGGACACGGCTGACTGGAGCGAACAGATGCCTAAATTGTTTGACACGAGAATAGCAAGGTACAATACAATAATACCAACTAAAATAGAACAGAGAAAGAGTGAATGTTTACTTACCACATTTTGTCTTCTGTGCCTGTATCATATGAAGTAAAATAGCAATAAATCCATATCGGGTACACGAGCAAAATGAACAATGTCTGTTATTGTAAACGGCTCACCTCGTGTATCTAAAACCGTCACGTATTTTCCTGTTGAGATACTTACTTCGGTAACAATGATAAAAAGCAAGATGCATATTCAGCATCCATTGTATTATCAACAATATAAATGCTTGTGTGACAAACAGCTAGTGTGTATTCTTGTAAATTTCATGAATCCAACATAGACGAGGAAGGTCCGTATAAGTAATAACAATCTAAATGATTGTAATACTAAAGTATAATTAGCCAGTACTTCTTATTAATGCATTATTAAGCAAGCGTAGCTTGTTTGTATACAGACAATTTCGTAAACAATGATCAAAATATAAAGACAAGTTTGTACACAAAGATCAAAATATACACACAAGTTTGTACACAATGATCAAAATATACACACAAGTTTGTACAATATACACACAAGTTTGTACAACATACACACAAGTTTGTACACAGTGATCAAAATATACACACAAGTTTGTACACAATGATCAAAATATACACACAAGTTTGTACACAATGATCAAAATATACAGACAAGTTTGTACACAGTGATCAAAATATACAGACAGGTTTGTACACAGTGATCAAAATATACACACAAGTTTGTACAACATACACACAAGTTTGTACACAATGATCAAAATATAAAGACAAGTTTGTACACAATGATCAAAATATATACATAAGTTTGTACAACATACACACAAGTTTGTACACAATGATCAAAATATAAAGACAAGTTTGTACACAAAGATCAAAATATACAGACAAGTTTATACACAGTGATCAAAACATACAGACAAGTTTGTACACAATGATCAAAATATACATATAAGTTTGTACAACATACACACAAGTTTGTACACAATGATCAAAATATAAAGACAAGTTTGTACACAAAGATAAAAATATACACACAAGTTTGTACACAATGATCAAAATATACACACAAGTTTGTACAATATACACACAAGTTTGTACAACATACACACAAGTTTGTACACAGTGATCAAAATATACACACAAGTTTGTACACAATGATCAAAATATACACACAAGTTTGTACACAATGATCAAAATATACACACAAGTTTGTACACAATGATCAAAATATACACACAAGTTTGTACACAATGATCAAAATATACACACAAGTTTGTACAACATACACACAAGTTTGTACACAGTGATCAAAATATACACACAAGTTTGTACACAATGATCAAAATATACACACAAGTTTGTACACAATGATCAAAATATACACACAAGTTTGTACAATATACACACAAGTTTGTACAACATACACACAAGTTTGTACAACATACACACAAGTTTGTACACAGTGATCAAAATATACACACAAGTTTGTACACAATGATCAAAATATACACACAAGTTTGTACACAATGATCAAAATATACACACAAGTTTGTACACAATGATCAAAATATACACACAAGTTTGTACACAATGATCAAAATATACACACAAGTTTGTACACAATGATCAAAATATACACACAAGTTTGTACACAATGATCAAAATATACACACAAGTTTGTACACAATGATCAAAATATACAGACAAGTTTATACACAGTGATCAAAATATACAGACAAGTTTGTACACAATGATCAAAATATACACACAAGATTGTACAACATACACACATGTTTGTACACACTGATCAAAATATACAGACAGGTTTGTACACAGTGATCAAAATATACAGACAAGTTTATACACAGTGATCAAAATATACAGACAAGTTTGTACACAATGATCAAAATATACACACAAGATTGTACAACATACACACATGTTTGTACACAATGATCAAAATATACAGACAGGTTTGTACACAGTGATCAAAATATACAGACAAGTTTGTACACAGTGATCAAAATATACAGACACGTTTGTACACAGTGATCAAAATGTACACACAAGTCCGACGAAGGGATCAAATCATTCGAACAGGTCTGGACACAAGGACTTTGTTTAGAAAGATGAGTCTGATAGGTTTAGCATACATGACTTGAAAATAGTATTTAGTGCTCTCGTTTGGTTCGTTGTCTGATACACAGGTCTATTAGTGTCTTTGAGTCTGGAGATCTTCTCTATTCAGCTATAGCGTAAAATCGAAAACTGACAGGCAATAGATTAATAACAACAGGCACGGATATTTATGAATCTGTTAGCTGGCTCTTGTAAGATGAAATGCCATGTTGAACAAAAACCGTATTACTGTGATGAAATGCCAAGAGACCAGTACCTCGATTATCACTTCAAACATGCTTAACGAGTTGAATTTGACTGACATCCGCTGAGTTGGTTTAATGATGCTTCCAAGCTGGTTACGAAGATGAGATAATTTGTTAACGGCCTCATATACCTCAACACTGTATCATACACATAAACGGGGATACCTAAAAAAAACAATACCGACACATCAACAGAATATGGAAAACGAAATATTTACACAGAGACCATAGAAAAAATTAAAAGATGTGAAGGCCAGGTGTTAGGGTAATAGTCTTATTGAAGGTATTCACCATACGTGTAGAACTCGGTCAATCATAGAAATTATGGAATAGAGTCACGTTCCTAAAAAAAACAGGCAATACCAGGAGCGTAGCTTCCATAGAAAGAAAAAGCCCGGGCTTACACATTAAAAAAAATCCGTGCATAGAGTATGTCGGACAAAATTACAAAACTAAGGTTGAAAATAAATATCAGGGATTGAAGTTTGTTGTTAAATAAATAAAAAAAACTGTCTCAGTAAACGATTCAAAACATCTTTGAAATCATCAAATTCAGACCCCTCGCCTGCGCTTACACATTTCTGCTGGGCTAGCCCCTGAATACTATTATATCTCAACAATAAAGCATGATATCAGATTTTGACATTTTTCCTATTACTTTGGATTTTCCTCAGTCGCCTCCTAGGTTTCATGTCCTTTTAACATCAGTAGGACGAAACTGGTTATTGTTCCGTTTACATACTAAGTCATTGCTGAGTAGAGCAGATGTGCAGTGAAATTCGGATACAGATTAAAGTTTCCAACAATCATTGTTGCAGTGTGACGAGGATAGGTCGATATCTGGAACTGAACCTGGATCTATCTGCCATACTCATCGTAACTCTATCCAATACCTCCACTCCACACCTCCACCCCTCCACCCCCACACTCCGACCCCCACCCAACCCCCACAACCCACCCACCCCACTCCACACCTCCACCCCTCCAACGCTACCCCAACCACCCCGCCAAACCCCCTCCCCTCCATCCCCAAAACCCCCACACAACCACATCCCCACCCCACCCCACCCCCACCCCATCCCCCACCAGACCCCCAACCACACCCCCACAACCACCCCACCACACCCTCTCCCCTCCATCCCACAAACCCCCCACACACACACAACCACACCCCCAACTCGACATCCCACCACCCTCCCAAACCCACCCGTTCACCCCCACTCCCCACCCCTACACCCCTCCAACCCCCACACACCCCCTCCACCCCTCCACCCCCAAACCCCCACACCACCACATCCCCATCCCCACACCCCACCACCCTCCCACACCCACCCGTTCACCCCCACACCCCATCCCCCACACCGACACCCCCCCACTCCACCTCTCCACCCCTACACCTCTCCACCCACCCCACCACACCCCCACCCCCACACCCCCACCCCCAGCACACCCCCCACTCCCACCCCTCCACCTCCACCCCCTCCATCCCCCACCCCTCTACGCCCTCCACCCCCCAACCCCCCCTCCACCCCTCCACCCCCACTTCTCCCTCTCGGTTTTTACATTGTTTTACTGTCACCATCAAAAAGAGCGTATCACTCAGTCTTGGACAGGTTTTCTCTCGTGAACCAATCAAATTACTTCGCTTGTGCCTTCTATATATCCATGACATGTTCCAAAGGAACAGAGAGAGAAAATGATCGTAACCCCTGGAGTATCAAGGAAGGTATATAACTGGCAGATGTAATCCTATATGCAATGGCTATCAAACGGCTAGATCCTATATATAACCCCTACAAAAGGGCTAGATCCTATATATAACCCCTACCAAATGGCTAGATCCTACATATAACACCAACCAAATGGCTAGCTCCTATATATAACACCTACCTAAAGCCTTGATCCTAAGTATAACCCCTATCAAATGGCTAGATTCTATATATAACACTACCAAATGACTTGCTCCTATATAACACCTACCAAATGGCTTGATCCTATATATAACCCCTACCAAAAGGCTTCATCCTATATATAACCCCTACCAAATGGCTAGCTCCTATACATAACACCCACCAAATGGCTAGCTCCTATATATAACCCCTACCAAATGGCTTGATCATATATATAACCCCTACCAAATGGCTAGCTCCTATACATAGCACCTACCAAATGCCTAGCTCCTATATATAACACTACCAAATGGCTTGCTCCTATATATAACCCCTACCAAATTGCTAGCTCCTATATATTACACCTACCAAATTGCTAGCTCCTATATATCACACCTACCAAATTGCTAGCTCCTATATATAACCCCTACCAAATGGCTAGATCCTATATATAACACTACCAAATGGCTTGCTCCTATATATAACCCCTACCAAATGGCTAGATCCTATATATAACACTACCAAATTGCTAGTTCCTATATATAACACCTACCTAAAGCCTTGATCCTACATATAACCCCTACCAAATGGCTAGCTCCTATATATAACCCTACCAAATGGCTAACTCCTATGTATAACACCTACCAAATGGCTAGCTCCTATGTATTACACCTACCAAATGGCTAGCTCCTATATATAACACCTACCAAATGGTTAGCTCCTATATATAACCCTACCAAATGGCTAGCTCCTGTATATAACACCTACCAAATGGCTAGATCCTATATATAACCCCTACAAAAAGGCTAGTTCATATATATAACCCCTACCAAATGGCTAGATCCTATATATAACCCCTACCAAATGGCTAGATCCTATATATAACCCCTACAAAAAGGCTAGCTCCTATACAAAACACTACCAAATGGCTAGATCCTATATATAACACTACCAAATTGCTAGCTCCTATATATAACACCTACCTAAAGCCTTGATCCTATATATAACCCCTACCAAATGGCTTCATCCTATATATAACCCCTACCAAATGGCTAACTCGTATGTATAACACCTACCAAATGGTTAGCTCCTATATATAACCCTACCAAATGGCTAGCTCCTATATATAACACCTACCAAATGGCTAGCTCCTATATATAACACCTACCAAATGGCTAGATCCTATATATAACCCCCACCAAATGGCTAGCTCCTATATATAACCCCTACCAAATGGCTAGCTCCTATATATAACACCTACCAAATGGTTAGCTCCTATATATAACCCTACCAAATGGCTAGCTCCTATATATAACACCTACCAAATGGCTAGATCCTATATATCACCCCTACCAAATGGCTAGATCCTATATATAACACTACCACATTGCTAGCTCCTATATATAACACCTACCTAAAGCCTTGATCCTACATATAACCCCTACCAAATGGCTTGATCCTATATATAACCCCTACCAAATGGCTAGCTCCTATGTATTACACCTACCAAATGGCTAGATCCTATATATAACCCCTTCAAAAAGGCTAGCTCCTATATATAACCCCTACCAAATGGCTAGCTCCTATATATAACCCTACCAAATGGCTTGATCCTATATAAAAAACCCCTACTAAATGACTAGATCCTATATATAACACTACCAAAAGGCTTAATCCTATATATAACCCCTACCAAATGGCTTGATCCTATATATAACCCCTACCAAATGGCTAGCTCCTATATATAACACCTACCAAATGGCTAGCTCCTATATATAACACCTACCAAATGGCTAGATCCTATATATAACCCTACCAAATGGCTAGCTCCTATATATAACCCCTACCAAATGGCTAGATCCTATATATAACCCCTACCAAATGGCTAGATCCTATATATAACACTACCAAATTGCTAGCTCCTATATATAACACCTACCTAAAGCCTTGATCCTATATATAACCCCTACCAAATGGCTTGATCCTATATATAACCCCTACCAAATGACTAACTCCTATGTATAACACCTACCAAATGGCTACCTCCTATGTATTACACCTACCAAATGGCTAGATCCTATATATAACCCCTACCAAATGGCTAGATCCTATATATAACCCCCACCAAATGGCTAGCTCCTATATATAACCCCTACCAAATGGCTAGCTCTTATATATAACCCCTAGCAAATTGCTAGCTCCTATATATATATAAAACCCCTACCAAATGGCTAGATCCTATATATAACCCCCACCAAATGGCTAGCTCTTATATATAACCCCTACCAAATTGCTAGCTCCTATATATATATATAAAACCCCTACCAAATGGCTAGATCCTATATATAACCCCCACCAAATGGCTAGCTCCTATATATAACCCCTACCAAATGGCTAGCTCCTATATATAACCCCTACCAAATGGCTAGATCCTATATATAACCCCTACCAAATGGCTAGCTCCTATATATAACCCCTACCAAATGGCTAGATCCTATATATAACCCCTACAAAAAGGCTAGTTCCTATATATAACCCCTACCAAATGGCTAGATCCTATATATAAAACCTACAAAAAGGCTAGCTCCTATACAAAACACTACCAAATGGCTAGATCCTATATATAACACTACCAAATTGCTAGCTCCTATATATAACACCTACCTAAAGCCTTGATCCTATATATAACCCCTACCAAATGGCTTCATCCTATATATAACCCCTACCAAATGGCTAACTCGTATGTATAACACCTACCAAATGACTATATCCTATATATAACCCTACCCAATGGCTAGCTCCTATATATAACACCTACCAAATGGCTAGCTCCTATATATAACACCTACCAAATGGCTAGATCCTTTATATAACCCCCACCAAATGGCTAGCTCCTATATATAACCCCTACCAAATGGCTAGCTCCTATATATAACACCTACCAAATGGTTAGCTCCTATATATAACCCTACCAAATGGCTAGCTCCTATATATAACACCTACCAAATGGCTAGATCCTATATATCACCCCTACCAAATGGCTAGATCCTATATATAACACTACCACATTGCTAGCTCCTATATATCACACCTACCTAAAGCCTTGATCCTACATATAACCCCTACCAAATGGCTTGATCCTATATATAACCCCTACCAAATGGCTAGCTCCTATGTATTACACCTACCAAATGGCTAGATCCTATATATAACCCCTTCAAAAAGGCTAGCTCCTATATATAACCCCAACCAAATGGCTAGCTCCTATATATAACCCTACCAAATGGCTTGATCCTATATAAAAACCCCTACTAAATGACTAGCTCCTATATATAACACCTACCAAATGGCTAGATCCTATATATAACCCCTACCAAATGGCTAGATCCTATATATAACACAACCAAATTGCTAGCTCCTATATATAACACCTACCTAAAGCCTTGATCCTATATATAACCCCTACCAAATGGCTTGATCCTATATATAACCCCTACCAAATGACTAACTCCTATGTATAACACCTACCAAATGGCTACCTCCTATATTATACCAAATGGCTAGATCCTATATATAACCCCTACCAAATGGCTAGATCCTATATATAACCCCCACCAAATGGCTAGCTCCTATATATAACCCCTACCAAATGGCTAGCTCTTATATATAACCCCTACCAAATTGCTAGCTCCTATATCTATATAAAACTACCAAATGGCTGGCTAGCTCCTATATATAATATAACCCCTACCAAATGGCTAGCTCCTATATATATAACCCCTACCAAATGGCTAGATCCTATATATAACCCCTACCAAATGGCTAGCTCCTATACATCACACTACCAAATGGCTAGATCCTATATATAACACAACCAAATTGCTAGCTCCTATATATAACACCTACCTAAAGCTTGCCTATATATAACCCCTACCAAATGGCTTGATATATATAAACCCCTACCAAATGGCTAGATCCTATATATAACCCCTACCAAATGGCTATATATATAACCCCCACCAAATGGCTAGCTCCTATATATAACCCCTACCAAATGGCTAGCTCTTATATATAACCCCTACCAAATTGCTAGCTCCTATATATATATAAAACCCCTACCAAATGGCTAGATCCTATATATAACCCCTACCAAATGGCTAGCTCCTATATATAACCCCTACCAAATGGCTAGATCCTATATATAACCCCTACCAAATTGCTAGCTCCTATATCTATATAAAACCCCTACCAAATGGCTAGATCCTATATATAACCCCTACCAAATGGCTAGCTCCTATACATCACACTACCAAATGGCTAGATCCTATATATAACACTACCAAATGGCTAGCTCTTATATATAACCCCTTCCAAATGGCTAGCTCTTATATATAACCCCTACCAAATTGCTAGCTCCTATATATATATGTAACACTACTAAATGGCTAGATCCTATATATAACCCCTACCAAATGGCTAGCTCTTATATATAACCCCTACCAAATTGCTAGCTCCTATATATATATAAAACCCCTACCAAATGGCTAGATCCTATATATAACTCCTACCAAATGGCTAGCTCCTATACAGCACACTACCAAATGGCTAGATCCTATATATAACACTACCAAATGGCTAGCTCCTATATATAACCCCTTCCAAATGGCTAGCTCTTATATATAACCCCTACCAAATTGCTAGCTCCTATATATATATAACACTACCAAATTGCTAGCTCCTATATATAACACCTACCTAAAGCCTTGATCCTATATATAACCCCTACCAAATGGCGTGATCCTATATATAACCCCTACCAAATGGCTAGATCCTTTATATAACCCCCACCGAATGGCTAGCTCTTATATATAGGCCTAACCCCTACCAAATGGCTTGCTCCTATATATAACCCCTACCAAATGGCTAGATCCTATATATAACACTACCAAATGGCTTGATCCTATATATAACCCCTACCAAATGGCTAGATCCTATATATAACACTACCAAATGGCTAGCTCCTATATATAACACCTATCTAAAGCCTTGATCCTATATATAACCCCTACCAAATGGCTTGATCCTATATATAACCCCTACCAAATGGCTAGCTCCTATATATAACACCTACCAAATGGCTAGATCCTATATATAACACTACCAAATTGCTAGCTCCTATATATAACACCTACCTAAAGCCTTGATCCTATATATAACCCCTACCAAATATATATATACCCCTACCAAATGGCTAACTCCTATATATAACCCCTACCAAATGGCTAGCTCCTATATATAACACCTACCAAATGGCTAGATCCTATATATAACCCCTTCCAAATGGCTAGCTCCTATATATAACCCTACCAAATGGCTAACTCGTATGTATAACACCTACCAAATGGTTAGCTCCTATTTTTAACCCTACCAAATGGCTAGCTCCTATATATAACACCTACCAAATGGCTAGATCCTATATATAACACTACCAAATGGCTAGCTCCTATATATAACCCCTACCAAATGGCTAGATCCTATATATAACCCCCACCAAATGGCTAGCTCCTATATATAACCCCTACCAAATGGTTAGCTCCTATATATAACCCTACCAAATGGCTAGCTCCTATATATAACCCCCACCAAATGGCTAGATCCTATATATAACACTACCAAATTGCTAGCTCCTATATATAACACCTACCTAAAGCCTTGATCCTATATATAACCCCTACCAAATGGCTTCATCCTATATATAACCCCTACCAAATGGCTAGCTCCTATATATAACACCTACCAAATGGCTAGATCCTATATATAACCCCTTCAAAAAGGCTAGCTCCTATATATAACCCCTACCAAATGGCTAGATCCTATATATAACCCCCACCAAATGGCTAGCTCCTATATATAACCCCTACCAAATGGCTAGCTCCTATATATAACCCCTACCAAATGGCTTGATCCTATATATAACCCCTGCCACATGGCTACCTCCTATATATAACACTACCAAATGACTTGCTCCTATGTATAACCCCTACGAAATGGCTTGATCCTATATATAACCCCTACCAAATGGCTAGCTCCTATATATAACACTACCAAATGACTAGATCCTATATATAACCCCTACCAAATGGCTAGCTCCTATATATAACCTGGCTAGATCCTATATATAACCAAATGGCTAGCTCCTCCACTATATATATAACACTACCAAATTGCTAGCTCCTATATATAACACCTACCAAATGGCCTTGATCCTATATATAACCCCTACCAAATGGCTAGCTCCTATATATAACCCCTACCAAATGGCTTGATCCTATATATACCAAATTGCTAGCTCCTACCAACACCTACCTAAAGCCCCCTAACCTCCTATATGACTTGCTCCTATGTAACCCTACCAAATGGCTATATATAACTCCTATATATAACCCCTACCAAATGGCTAGCTCCTATATATAACACCTACCAAATGGCTAGCTCCTATATATAACACCTACGAAATGGTTAGCTCCTATATATAACACTACCAAATTGTTAGATCCTATATATAACACCACCAAATGGCTAGATCCTATATATTACACCTACGAAATGGTTAGCTCCTATATATAACACCTACCAAATGATTACATCCGTACAACCAATCAAAACGCTGTTCATTTGAAACTTCAAAACTCTGCTTCTTCAGTGCAAACTTACAACCAAATTGAACTCTGCTCGGTGTAGACTTACAACCAATAACAAAATCACAAATGTGATTGGTGTAAACATACAACCAATTGTATTTGTGCTCAGTGTTTGCTTACGACCAATTACAGCTCACAAGGTCATTTTATGATCATAAAACGTGGGTATTTCTTGGAGGATGTTCAGTTCAATCATAATTTTATTTCCTCAACAATTTAATCATGTAATTCCAGTATGACACAATAATTGTCTACTCTGCACATTCTTCAGCAACACTTTATGAAAGAAAACACAAATCAAGTGAAATTCTATAAGAAATGTTCCAGTTGATGAACTTGATTTTATCCCCATCTCGTCCATCATAGTGTGCCACCACAGTACAGATAGATTGGCTGTTGGTGAGTTGGTACCGCGGCAGTAAAGCACTGAGGAACTGTAGGATGGACCTCGGCGCTGGTGCCGTACAATGAACATTTGCTATGTGTTAGATAGGTTGGATTTACTTGGTGTCGTGCTGTGTAAATGCATCTTATTAATTAATTAGGAGAAATATGAATACTAACCACATCCAGCACAATCATGACTTGGATTATGTACTAAAGGAGAACGTGAGGCTTTCCTTGTTAAATGTTTGGCGTCATTGCAAAGCTTGTGTTAATTAGCTGATATTGTCATACCGGCCGCTTGATCATTGGAACTATGTAAATCACTAATATAATGTAACAAACTACAGTACTTGTGTGGATGGTATTACATTTCCAGAAGAATTACGTGTTTTGTTTTGTGGAAGTTCCATTCAGCTGGATTTCATCTCCATTACATATATTTCTAAATCTCGGAGACATATTCCACTTAACAGTGCTACCGTGTCTTCACGAAGTGAATTTCTTTGATTTTTCCATTACAGTATGTTCTTGGAGTATATCTTCACAACCATTTATATCGCGTTACAATGTGTTTGTGAACCAAACGTCCAGTCCATTGTCTGCTATATTGAGATATAGCGTGTTCTTCCTATCGCTTACTTTGTGTAAGAATATTCATGGAGGAATGTCCAATAAGGTAGGAGAGTTCGTTATTTCAAGGCTTAAGTAAAGGCATACTGATACGTGCAACCTTGATAGCGTTCTTAATAAGAGCTGTACAATTTGGGAGAGTTGAAATCCAAATAAAACCAGCGATATTTGCCAAAGAAGTTTTAAAGAGAGAGGTTATGGAAGGTCAGTGGGGAGCTACAATGAATTGATCGATCAATATCTAAATTGTGCTAAAGTGTAATTATGAAAAAAACAACTTTTGTTTAACAGGTGACATCTGATTAACAAAAATTGTTATATCAAGATCATGAATCAGAGTCTGAACTGGCAGAGGAACATTGATAGTCCAGTGGCCGCTACTGTGCTCACTGAAGCGGCCAGCAACTTGAGTGGAGCGGCATTTGTGGAAACGTCCATGTATATATATATTTGGGTAACAATAGTCAACGGTATCATCTTCCTTACTGGAGTCATCGGCAATGCAATGGTTATTGTCGTGGTCGTTAAGGTCCGGGACATGCGCACAACGACAAACTACTTTCTCGTGAACCTGAGTATAGCGGATTTGTTAGTCCTCCTTATCTGTCAACCGTCCGCACTACTCGAGTTTTACGCCAAGGACCGATGGTACATTGGGAAGGCGCTCTGTAAGTACTCTCGTTATATACAAAATTATAAACGTTTTCGTCCTAAAAGGACCTCTGTTCTGTCCGAATATTGTCAATAACTTGAATCAATTCATTCTTTTCTGTTGATCAAAACTAAATCAATGAATTATTGGTTTTGAATTAATTTTATGTGTGTGGGTTTTTTTTTTTTTTTTCTTTTTTATTATTTTATTTATTTATTTATTATTATTATTATTTTGTGTATATTTTGTGGGGATTTTTCGTTTGTTTGTATGTGGGAGTTGGGTTGGGAGTTGGGGTGGGGGTTTGGGAGTAGGGAGGGAATTGCGAGTGTTTGGAAAGGAGAAAATGGCGAGGGTTAGGGAAGAGGAAGACGGCGAGAGTTACGAAAGACCATGACGAAAAACGGCGTGGATTAGTGTAGACAAAGACGAAGACGATGATGGTTAGATAAGGCCATGACGAGGATTGCAAGGGTTATGAAAGACGATGATGGTGGGGTAAGGCCATGGCGAGGACTGTGAGGGTTAGGAAAGCCAAAGACGGCGAGCATTTAACTGGGTGAAACTTTAATTTTTGCAGTAAATACTCACATTGATGACACTTAAACACACATATTTATGAATATGAAGTATTACCATCGTTTACAGATTCTTAGTGGCACTGCAATAAACATTATTGCACCTCGGACTAGAATGCATTGATCTGATTGGACGTTGCTTGCCCCCTATAAATCTATAGGGGGCAGCTGAATATATAGGGGGCAATGGCCGCCATCCATTATCTCTGAAAGGCGTCACTTCGTAATTTCAAATCACAGATTGGCGATATTCACATTCTGTTCCGTGTCGGAATATTGGCTAGAGTGAATCCTAGAAGTTGCTATTATCTAGTACGAGTTGTTTCCCCTACACGAAGCACCTATTTGACTCGGATCAAAAATGGCTGGGCGGTTCGGGCAGACGACAGCTGCAGACAAGGAAAAAAAAACGCCTGGCACTTAACGCTGATAAGACGTTAAAAGCTAATAAGTTGGCCGCTAAAGTGTTCAAAGATTATTTGGTGGAAAAGCAGCAAAACCCAGATTTTGAAGATTACGATGTAGTCCGACTGGACGAATGTCTTGGCCATTTTTACATGGATGCCAGGAAATGTGATGGGACGTATTATACATATATTTAAATGGGTCCTTGGTGCAATAAATTCGTTATGTAGTTTGCTAGTGAAGCCCGAATCCCCCTACCAATCTGACTGAACCCCTATATTCCTGTAGGGGGTCACTAGCAAACTACATAACTAATAATAAACGTTTCAACAAAGATGCGAGGTTGAAATGGCGACAAAACTGTAACACTATACACCAGTAAAATAGAAATACAATAGAAGGGAAGGCGGTACGAGAAAATACGAGGAGAGAGAGAGAAAGAGAGAAAGGAAGGCAATACGAGAAAATACGAGGAGAGAGGGAGAAGGGAAGGCGGTACTAGAGAATACGAGGAGAGAGGGGGGGAGGTGGTACTTAAGAATACGAGGAGAGAGAGAGAAGGGAAGGCGGTAAGAGAAATAGAGAGAGAGAGAAGGGAAGGCGGTAAGAGAGAGAGAGAGAAGGGAAGGCGGTACTAGAGAATACGAGGAGAGAGGGAGAAGGGAAGGTGGTACTAGAGAATACGAGGAGAGGGAGAGAGAAAAGGGAAGGTGGTACTAGAGAATACGAGGAGAGAGAGAGAAGGGAAGGCGGTACTAAATACGAGGAGAGAGAAGGGAAGGCGTTACTAGAGAATACGATAAGAGAGAGAGAGAGAGGAAAACGGTATTACCTATAACCTGACTTTGTGTGTAGTAAGTATTAGGACACTATTACATACGACAGGCGAAGTCGTCAAATACCGACAGCAGAAAGCAACAAAATTACTTGATTTGTCGCCGTTACCTCGGGATATTGATTCCAAATATTTGTTTGCGAGAATAACTTTAATGGTATAACTATCAACGTCAATGTTTTCCTGCAGGCAACCCATTAGGATTATCTAGCTATTCATTGTGATTTAAGCGCTGAATATTACATCATTTCTGCTTTGTCGACTTATACTGCAATCTGGTCTCACTTTATCGAGGCGTTCCTTTCGGAGGTTTAATTAAAACATTTAAGACACAAAAGTGAAAACACCTATACCACAAAATTTTAGAAATAAAACCAGTAGTGCCAAATAATAAACTTAATCCCTCACAGCTGTATGAATTTCTAGGACTCGTCAGTGATGCTAAATACCTAAATGTTAAACCTAGCTAGAGACTGATGAAAACCGAAACTGATGTCAAAAAAGGTACACAAACCCAAAAATTTTGTAAATTTCATAACTTTAAACATATGCTTGTGTTGTAATGAAAACATGACGGGACAGGTTACGAAAAACCTCTAGGATAAAAGCCTTACTACAGAGTCTACCAACTGCCATCTCAAAGAATTGTACAAAAGATAGCGTTCAAAGAGTATCTATACATTGTACTTCAGATACCATATCTATCGCATACGAAATATATAAGGTATTTCATTGAGAAATCTGTACAGAATGTATTGATATTATATTACAAGAGATAAATAAAGCCATTAAAATATATGTAAAAGTGCAATCGAAATATAAATATATAAAGTTTTTAAAAAAGCAAAGAATATATAATGTTATTTTAGACAACAATAAAGCAATAAAGATGTTTAGATACAAAAGTACAATCAAGAAAAAGAGATATTTAGATACAAAAGTACAACCAAGAAAAAAGAGATATTTAGATACAAAAGTACAACCAAGAAAAAGAGACATTTAGATACAAAAGTATAACCAAGAAAAAGAGATATTTAGATACAAAAGTACAACCAAGAAAAAGAGACATTTAGATACAAAAGTACAACCAAGAAAAAGAGATATTTAGATACAAAAGTACAACCAAGAAAAAGAGACATTTAGATACAAAAGTACAACCAAGAAAAAGATATTTAGATACAAAAGTACAACCAAGAAAAAGAGATATTTAGATACAAAAGTACAACCAAGAAAAAGAGACATTTAGATACAAAAGTACAACCAAGAAAAAGAGATATTTAGATACAAAAGTACAACCAAGAAAAAGAGATATTTAGATACAAAAGTACAACCAAGAAAAAGAGACATTTAGATACAAAAGTACAACCAAGAAAAGGAGATATTTAGATATAAAATTACAATCGCATAATCAAGAAATATCGAGATAAAGTAAAACAAAAGGTAATCAAGATTTAAGTGAAAGGTATCTTTTGAAGCGGTCACAATCGACAATATGTGTCATTGACTATGATATAAATATTACGCTGTACTTTATGTAATACACAATCGACAGTATGTGTCATTGACTATAATAGAAATATTACGCTGTACTTTATGTAATACACAATCGACAATATGTGTCATTGACTATGATAGAAATATTACGCTGTACTTTATGTAATACACAATCGACAGTATGTGTCATTGACTGTAATAGAAATATTACGGTGTACTTTATGTAATATACAATCGACAGTGTTTCTCATTGCTGACTGAGTTTTTTATATACATGTTTTATATGTATATAAAAACATGATGTAAACAAACAATGCATAAAAGACCCATAATTATACAGTTAACAAAGGTCAGGTATTGCCAAAGTAAATATTTAGACTTTGACCTTGAAGAATTACATGATTAAATAAGACCAGATGGCGAGGGTCTAATCGCTTTATTGTCCCTAATCTTGTGGAGTGGCGTTCATAAAATCGGTTCAGAAGTGACGACTGGGCTAATGGCGCTGTCATTGTATTTCGTATATTTCAACAATCCGTCCGTGGTACCCCTAACCGTGAATTCAAATGATCACGTGTTGTTGGAATTAATACCAGCAGATCAATCGCGCTATATATTTTCACGAAACTAATTGTCCAAGAAATAGTACAAGTTTAAAAAAAAAACTACGAAAATTGATCCTCACAAAAATAGATGTGACAGAAATATATTACCAAGATAAAATAATGATCTGGTTATTTACACTCGGTCAATACCAACAAAAATAATTCCTGTCGTTCACGCTCCATGTACAGATCTACAATGTTCTTTGTTGATCATACTCTCTGGAGCTCCTTAAACACAGTCGACAAGACCAAACTGCATTAACTCCACACAAATGACTCGCTGGTTCCAAACTATCACTGGCTCAGCAATTCTGATTGAAATACGAAACGACATTTTATAGTCGGTCTCTTTATATTTGACAAGACTGTTAACATTAGCATACCGTATTTAATTCCTCGTTTAGTATTAGTTTAAATCTGTACAGAAGGTCAGATAGGTTAATTTGCAATAGAAAAGATGTCCATTACATATTGATTGAGAAGGATTAATGTTCCATCTCTGAAATCTAGTAGCATGAAAGTTCTTATAAATGTCCTGCAAATCATTGATAATATAGTCTGTCATAGGAGGCAGGGTCAGAGGTCATACCGACAAGGAGGCATTCATTTTTTTCAGAAGTTTTCGTAGAACAATATATCAATGCATGTTGCTGACGTATCTGTAGTGTTAATTTTGCACTAATGTTAAATCAACATAGGAAAAGTATTACATGTACTGTATTACCGAATTACCCGAATCCTTTATTACATTTTAACATGAAAAAACTCCCACCGTTTTGCAATAAAATCGTACTCCAAACTCAAAATCGATGGAACCGGAGTTAACTGAGAAAAACACCCACAAAATACAAAATAAAAAATTATTTACACAGAAAAAAGAAAAAAGTAAGAAGGAAAATAAGACCATGGCAACAACCTCTCCCTGTCTGACAGGTAGTCTTAATTAGGATTGATGTCATCACAAGAAAATTACTGTTAACAACTACAGGAATATCATCATGTCTGTAATTCTGTTCCTGTATTTGTAACTGCCATGTCTGTAATTTTATTTCTGTATTTGTAACTTCCATGTCTGTAATTCTGTTCCTGTATTTGTAAC